ACACAGAGCGCGACCAAAGCCAGGCGTCCCAGCCCCTACACAGAACGCGACCAAAGCCAGGCGTCCCAGCCCCTACACAGAACGCGATCAAAGCCAGGCGTCCCAGCCCCTACACAGAACGCGATCAAAGCCAGGCGTCCCAGCCCCTACACAGAGCGCGACCAAAGCCGGGCGTCCCAGCCCCTACACAGAGCGCGACCAAAGCCAGGCGTCCCAGCCCCTACACAGAACGCGACCAAAGCCAGGCGTCCCAGCCCCTACACAGAACGCGACCAAAGCCAGGCGTCCCAGCCCCTACACAGAACGCGACCAAAGCCAGGCGTCCCAGCCCCTACACAGAACGCGACCAAAGCCAGGCGTCCCAGCCCCTACACAGAGCGCGACCAAAGCCAGGCGTCCCAGCCCCTACACAGAGCGCGACCAAAGCCAGGCGTCCCAGCCCCTACACAGAGCGCGACCAAAGCCAGGCGTCCCAGCCCCTACACAGAGCGCGACCAAAGCCAGGCGTCCCAGCCCCTACACAGAGCGCGAGCAAAGCCAGGCGTCCCAGCCCCTACACAGAGCGCGAGCAAAGCCAGGCGTCCCAGCCCCTACACAGAACGCGACCAAAGCCAGGCGTCCCAGCCCCTACACAGAACGCGACCAAAGCCAGGCGTCCCAGCCCCTACACAGAGCGCGACCAAAGCCAGGCGTCCCAGCCCCTACACAGAACGCGACCAAAGCCAGGCGTCCCAGCCCCTACACAGAACGCGACCAAAGCCAGGCGTCCCAGCCCCTACACAGAACGCGACCAAAGCCAGGCGTCCCAGCCCCTACACAGAGCGCGACCAAAGCCAGGCGTCCCAGCCCCTACACAGAACGCGACCAAAGCTAGGCGTCCCAGCCCCTACACAGAGCGCGACCAAAGCCGGGCGTCCCAGCCCCTACACAGAGCGCGACCAAAGCCGGGCGTCCCAGCCCCTACACAGAACGCGACCAAAGCCGGGCGTCCCAGCCCCTACACAGAGCGCGACCAAAGCCGGGCGTCCCAGCCCCTACACAGAGCGCGACCAAAGCCGGGCGTCCCAGCCCCTACACAGAGCGCGACCAAAGCCGGGCGTCCCAGCCCCTACACAGAGCGCGACCAAAGCCAGGCGTCCCAGCCCCTACACAGAACGCGACCAAAGCCAGGCGTCCCAGCCCCTACACAGAACGCGATCAAAGCCAGGCGTCCCAGCCCCTACACAGAGCGCGAGCAAAGCCAGGCGTCCCAGCCCCTACACAGAGCGCGAGCAAAGCCAGGCGTCCCAGCCCCTACACAGAGCGCGAGCAAAGCCAGGCGTCCCAGCCCCTACACAGAGCGCGACCAAAGCCAGGCGTCCCAGCCCCTACACAGAGCGCGACCAAAGCCAGGCGTCCCAGCCCCTACACAGAACGCGACCAAAGCTAGGCGTCCCAGCCCCTACACAGAGCGCGAGCAAAGCCAGGCGTCCCAGCCCCTACACAGAACGCGACCAAAGCCAGGCGTCCCAGCCCCTACACAGAGCGCGACCAAAGCCAGGCGTCCCAGCCCCTACACAGAACGCGACCAAAGCCAGGCGTCCCAGCCCCTACACAGAACGCGACCAAAGCCAGGCGTCCCAGCCCCTACACAGAACGCGACCAAAGCCAGGCGTCCCAGCCCCTACACAGAACGCGACCAAAGCCAGGCGTCCCAGCCCCTACACAGAACGCGACCAAAGCCAGGCGTCCCAGCCCCTACACAGAACGCGACCAAAGCCAGGCGTCCCAGCCCCTACACAGAATGCGACCAAAGCCAGGCGTCCCAGCCCCTACACAGAACGCGACCAAAGCCAGGCGTCCCAGCCCCTACACAGAACGTGACCAAAGCTAGGCGTCCCAGCCCCTACACAGAACGCGACCAAAGCCAGGCGTCCCAGCCCCTACACAGAGCGCGACCAAAGCCAGGCGTCCCAGCCCCTACACAGAGCGCGACCAAAGCCAGGCGTCCCAGCCCCTACACAGAACGCGACCAAAGCCAGGCGTCCCAGCCCCTACACAGAACGCGACCAAAGCCAGGCGTCCCAGCCCCTACACAGAGCGCGACCAAAGCCAGGCGTCCCAGCCCCTACACAGAGCGCGACCAAAGCCAGGCGTCCCAGCCCCTACACAGAACGCGACCAAAGCCAGGCGTCCCAGCCCCTACACAGAACGCGACCAAAGCCAGGCGTCCCAGCCCCTACACAGAACGCGACCAAAGCCAGGCGTCCCAGCCCCTACACAGAACGCGACCAAAGCCAGGCGTCCCAGCCCCTACACAGAGCGCGACCAAAGCCAGGCGTCCCAGCCCCTACACAGAACGCGACCAAAGCCAGGCGTCCCAGCCCCTACACAGAACGCGACCAAAGCCAGGCGTCCCAGCCCCTACACAGAACGCGACCAAAGCCAGGCGTCCCAGCCCCTACACAGAGCGCGAGCAAAGCCAGGCGTCCCAGCCCCTACACAGAGCGCGATCAAAGCCAGGCGTCCCAGCCCCTACACAGAGCGCGACCAAAGCCAGGCGTCCCAGCCCCTACACAGAACGCGACCAAAGCCAGGCGTCCCAGCCCCTACACAGAACGCGACCAAAGCCAGGCGTCCCAGCCCCTACACAGAACGCGACCAAAGCCAGGCGTCCCAGCCCCTACACAGAACGCGACCAAAGCCAGGCGTCCCAGCCCCTACACAGAACGCGACCAAAGCCAGGCGTCCCAGCCCCTACACAGAACGCGACCAAAGCCAGGCGTCCCAGCCCCTACACAGAACGCGACCAAAGCCAGGCGTCCCAGCCCCTACACAGAGCGCGACCAAAGCCAGGCGTCCCAGCCCCTACACAGAGCGCGACCAAAGCCAGGCGTCCCAGCCCCTACACAGAGCGCGACCAAAGCCAGGAGTCCCAGCCCCTACACAGAACGCGATCAAAGCCAGGCGTCCCAGCCCCTACACAGAACGCGACCAAAGCCAGGCGTCCCAGCCCCTACACAGAACGCGACCAAAGCCAGGCGTCCCAGCCCCTACACAGAACGCGACCAAAGCCAGGCGTCCCAGCCCCTACACAGAACGCGACCAAAGCCAGGCGTCCCAGCCCCTACACAGAACGCGACCAAAGCCAGGCGTCCCAGCCCCTACACAGAACGCGACCAAAGCCAGGCGTCCCAGCCCCTACACAGAGCGCGACCAAAGCCAGGCGTCCCAGCCCCTACACAGAGCGCGACCAAAGCCAGGCGTCCCAGCCCCTACACAGAGCGCGACCAAAGCCAGGCGTCCCAGCCCCTACACAGAGCGCGACCAAAGCCAGGCGTCCCAGCCCCTACACAGAGCGCGACCAAAGCCAGGCGTCCCAGCCCCTACACAGAGCGCGACCAAAGCCAGGCGTCCCAGCCCCTACACAGAGCGCGACCAAAGCCAGGCGTCCCAGCCCCTACACAGAGCGCGACCAAAGCCAGGCGTCCCAGCCCCTACACAGAGCGCGACCAAAGCCAGGCGTCCCAGCCCCTACACAGAGCGCGATCAAAGCCAGGCGTCCCAGCCCCTACACAGAGCGCGACCAAAGCCAGGCGTCCCAGCCCCTACACAGAGCGCGACCAAAGCCAGGCGTCCCAGCCCCTACACAGAACGCGACCAAAGCCAGGCGTCCCAGCCCCTACACAGAGCGCGACCAAAGCCAGGCGTCCCAGCCCCTACACAGAGCGCGACCAAAGCCAGGCGTCCCAGCCCCTACACAGAACGCGACCAAAGCCAGGCGTCCCAGCCCCTACACAGAGCGCGACCAAAGCCAGGCGTCCCAGCCCCTACACAGAGCGCGACCAAAGCCAGGCGTCCCAGCCCCTACACAGAACGCGATCAAAGCCAGGCGTCCCAGCCCCTACACAGAACGCGACCAAAGCCAGGCGTCCCAGCCCCTACACAGAACGCGATCAAAGCCAGGCGTCCCAGCCCCTACACAGAGCGCGACCAAAGCCAGGCGTCCCAGCCCCTACACAGAGCGCGACCAAAGCCAGGCGTCCCAGCCCCTACACAGAACGCGACCAAAGCCAGGCGTCCCAGCCCCTACACAGAACGCGACCAAAGCCAGGCGTCCCAGCCCCTACACAGAACGCGACCAAAGCCAGGCGTCCCAGCCCCTACACAGAACGCGACCAAAGCCAGGCGTCCCAGCCCCTACACAGAACGCGACCAAAGCCAGGCGTCCCAGCCCCTACACAGAACGCGACCAAAGCCAGGCGTCCCAGCCCCTACACAGAACGCGACCAAAGCCAGGCGTCCCAGCCCCTACACAGAGCGCGACCAAAGCCAGGCGTCCCAGCCCCTACACAGAACGCGATCAAAGCCAGGCGTCCCAGCCCCTACACAGAGCGCGACCAAAGCCAGGCGTCCCAGCCCCTACACAGAGCGCGACCAAAGCCAGGCGTCCCAGCCCCTACACAGAACGCGACCAAAGCCAGGCGTCCCAGCCCCTACACAGAACGCGACCAAAGCCAGGCGTCCCAGCCCCTACACAGAACGCGACCAAAGCCAGGCGTCCCAGCCCCTACACAGAACGCGACCAAAGCCAGGCGTCCCAGCCCCTACACAGAACGCGACCAAAGCCAGGCGTCCCAGCCCCTACACAGAACGCGACCAAAGCCAGGCGTCCCAGCCCCTACACAGAACGCGACCAAAGCCAGGCGTCCCAGCCCCTACACAGAGCGCGACCAAAGCCAGGCGTCCCAGCCCCTACACAGAACGCGATCAAAGCCAGGCGTCCCAGCCCCTACACAGAACGCGACCAAAGCTAGGCGTCACAGCCCCTACACAGAACGCGATCAAAGCCAGGCGTCCCAGCCCCTACACAGCACCCTCTGCTGCCAGCCAGGGGTTCTGAATTCCATGAAAACACCAAGCAGAGACTGGTGTCCCGAAGGCGTCAGGGGAGGACGTGGCTGCAGGAGGCCGGCCGAGTCCCGAGGCTGCGTCAGGCCCAGGTCACCCGCCCGCCTTACCACCACCCAGTTCTCTGAGTGCACGATGTGGACAGGGCCCCTGGCCTTCCTCTGCACGGAGGCGTGGATGATGCGCCCCGTGACCCCGTCCACGAGGAAGATGCCGATGAAGGTGCGCTCGTGGTGAACATCCGTGCTCTCCGTCACCACAGCCAGCAAGTTGGGGTTCAGGCTCTGGGAAGATGGAGAGAAAAGCTCCTTCAGAACCACAGTGGCACTCGGTGAGTGGCACCCCGCTGTGAGCCCGGGGTAGGGAGGTGGGCACAGGGCCCTCTGGCTGGCAGAGGAAGCAGCTTTTCTGGGTGGAAGAACTTCCTGTTCAGGGATCATCATCACTGCGCTTGTTCAGTGTCTCCTGGGGGCTGGAAGTCATGCCAGGGGCTTGGCCTCCCTCGTGTCATTGCCTCTCATAAACATCCTTGCAAACAGAAGTTACCATCTACGCTCCATAGATGAAGCGTCTTAAAGTAGTTAAGCAACTCACTCAAGTCACAAACAAACAGTCACTCAAAACACAACCCAAGCTGGCCCACTTCCTGCCGGAAGGACACTGGTCCAGCAACTTGCCGTCTCTCCACCAGGGCCCTGCAACTACCACAGCAATGGAGCGGTCTCAGCTCTCATCTAGCTTGGCCGACTAGGCCAGGTAGCGCGGGTGACCGCTCCCTTCCTAAGACGCCCTCGCCCCCGGCGTCCAGGACGCCCAGGCCCCATCTGTCCCCTGCCTCAGTCCCATCTGCAGGTCTGTCCTCCACTCCCCAGTCTCCAGATGCTTCCATCTGCCCGCGCTCTCCCGGTGATCTCAGCCAGTCTGATGGTTTCTGGACTGCAGGGGCTGGCAGCGCCCACGTTTACACATCCAAGCCAGGCCTCCCCCTGAACTCCAGACCCAACCAATGGACCGCTGTGTCAGAATCACTTCTCAGATGTCTCAAGGCAAACTCTACATGCCCCAAGCCAAACTCCTGGTCTACGCCTGCCAAAACCTGCTCCCCTCTAGGCCTCACCTCCTCCTCCAACTCCGTCTCTGCTCTGCCAGAGGCTGTAACTCATGCTCATCACTGTAAGGATTACGTTCCCTCACAGGATGGATCTGCAGCTGGCGAGTCGCCTCTCCATCTCCCACCCAGGAGGATGTTGGATCGCAGATGGAGTCTCTGACGGGCCGACTAAGGCTCCTGCCCAGAAAGGCCTGCCAGCGCGACCACGGGTCCTAACAGACAGCCCCAGGGGGAGGGCGTATATCAGGCCCATCTCACAAACAGCCCCAGGGGGAGGGCGTATATCAGGCCCATCTCACAGACAGAAAGTTAAGGCTCAAAGGGATTAAAAACCCGCAGAAAGCGCCCCTCTCCGCCGGCCGCAGGCCCCCCCGTACCTTGTAGAGCACGCTGCGGTCCCCCATCACGCGGCCCTGCGAGTGCACGTGCTCACTGCTGCGCTTGCCCTTCACCTGCACAATGCGCTGCACCTCCGGGGGGATGGTCAGCTCCCAGCTCAGCTCAGTGGTGAGGTCCTGCGGTGGGGCCAGAGAAGGAACCGGCACCGATCATCAGGAAGGTACCCTTAGGCCACGACAGCTGTGGCGAGACCCGTCCTGTAGCCCAGCAGGCGCCTCTGTGCAGGAGGGGACAGGGGTCAGAGGTCCTAGGGAAGCAGCAATAAGGGTCTAGTCTGGGAAGGTTTTGGAACTCCTGGTTCAAGTAAGAAAACCAGTGAAGCCTGGTGTGCAATGGCTGTGAACAACAGCCTCCTGGGCAGGTAGAGGCACCTGTTGCTCGTCTGGGCTGCCCAAGGGGACCTGGGAGACAGTCCTCTCCAAGGGACATGCGTCTGACCCCGGTGCCTTTGAAGAGCCCCAGGGCGGAGCGGTCAGCCAAGCCACAGAGTCCATCTGTACCAAGCTGCAGAACAAGGGGCATGTGGCTGAGACCCAATGCAGAGCCAAGTTCAAGTTCCCTGGCTGCCAGCAGATCCACATCTCCAAGAAGTACAGCTTTACTAAGTGTGACGCAGTGAACCTGAAGGCCTCGCGGCTGGAAAGCAGCTCCTCCAACATGGCTGTGGGGTCAAACGCAACCCTGACCTGTGGCCCTCTAGACAGGGGGCGGGCCCTGCACCCATGGGGACCTCAGAGCCACCCCTCCTCACTCACGTCCACCAATAAAGCCTACTTTCTGTCAAACAAACAAACAAAGAAATACTACAGCCGGTGTGAAAGAAGCGGAACAGTCAGCAGTATCCCACTGTTTATCTGGACTAACTCAAAGAAAACTTACCACTTATTACTAACATCTAAGGTCCCTACACGGAGCTGGCAGTGAACCACTAAACTGGCAGGGACCTCAGAATGTGACAAGAAATGCTCTTTATTGTCATGAGAAACCAACAAACCTGTATGGTTAAGTGCGTTATTACACCTCCACACTTGGAACTGCGTGGAGCCCTAAGTGATGGGGGGCGGGCGGTGACTAGAGGGGCTTCCCGATCTGACTGCTGTATGCACAGCCGCGGTCCTCCTGGGAGGGGCCCCTGAGCAGTAACCGCAGGGTTCTGCACTCTTCTCAGGGTTGTTTTCATCAGATATGGGTTTAACAAAAGGAGGCAGTAGAAACACATCAAGTGAACAAAGCAGATTTCCTACTGATTGAATATGGCTCAATTCCAGCTCAGGTAGGACGTACACACGCCGTGCCTGCCCACGCAGACCGGTAGTCTCCCCAGCAGTGGGCATGGCGGCGGGCCACGGAAGGCGTGCGGGCCACTGACACACCTTCCAGCCAGGGAAGTTGCTGGCGATGGGGCTGAAAGGGCCCTTCACGGTTTGCTCATGCAACTCTGTATCAATGCAATCTCTCACTGTGAGAATGTTACTTCTTTTAAAAAAAATTTTTAATGATAATAATCTTTATTAAAAAAATAAGGCTCCGATGAAAACACTTCACAGACTCCTATGAAAACATCAGAGTTCACTAAAACCCTCCCGGAGAGCAAGGTCACCAGGGAGCCCCGGGGGTCAGAGCCTGGAAGCCCACCCCCGCTGACTCCCTCTGGAGCTCTGCCTCCTCTGTCTCCCCTCGACTGTCTTCACGATGACACCTCAGGACTCCACTGGTCCATGACACCCGCACCCTGGGTCATACGCCCTACCCACGAAGAACTCTCTTTCAAGGTCCCTTTTTCATCAACTCAGAAGAACAGTGTTTCTTCACCCACCGGGTAAAGAGCATGCTTTCTGGACAGACCACTACTATGCTGTTTATGCGGAAGGTTAGCTGTTACAAAACGCTGGGAAAGGGCACTGTGTTTTTTAAACAACAGCAGGTGAAACCTATATGGCATGTACTCTGTGCCAGGCACTTCTTTATGTGACTTACACATATTAACTCTCCAGCGCATCACAAAAACTCTCTGACATAGTATTATTACCGTTTTGTCTTACAGACAAGAAAGCAGAGGACCAGACGGAAGTCATCTGCCCGAGGACGCAAAGTGAAAAAGTGATACAGACAGGCTTCCTGCACGAGCAGCCAGGTCCAAGGTCTGAGCCTCTCCGAAAGGCTTACAGACAGGATGGCAGGACCCGCTGGAGAGGACACATCTCAGATCAGCCCTCGACACGGCCCTGCTCTCGGAGCCAAGGCCAGCCCTTGTGAAGCTCAGAGCAGGACTTCAGAGCCAGCGTCAATCAGTACTTGCAAGAGTTGGACTCAAGTATGTCAGGACAGGAGCAAATTGATCCCAATTCTACAAGTAAAATTCAAAACTCACATTTGATTCACAGTGGATCAGTAACACCACCTTCATACAGAAAACTATTGCTCACTCACCAGTCCCACCTCCCACCCTAAGGATGGTGAAAACACGCCTTCTCCTGCCGCAGGACAGGCACGTGGAGTGAAAGCTCCAAGGGGCCGAGACCCCGTCGGTCATGCCCGGTTCCTTCCGCGGCAGCAGCAACCAGGCCTGCTCCATAAACACGAGAATGATGGCCTTCGACATCACGGTGACGCTCATCTATGCTTACAACACCACGGCCGGCATAATTCACTCCTGTTACCTACACCCCTCCCACCACGGGTCCTGGAGGACACCAGTGCCCACCTTCCGGAGCCGATATCCGCACAGCCGCCCCTGATCCGCGTCCACCAAGTAGAAGAAGATCGAAGGGGCGAGCTCATGGAGCTGCCGCAAGACATTCCGAGTGGCTGGGAAGGCTGTGACCTGGAAAACCCCAGAGAAGAGTTACAGAGGGACGTGGTGGCCCAGTGGCTAAGACTCCGCATTCCCAGTGCAGGGGGCCCTGGACTGATCCCTGGTCAAGGAACTAAATCCCACAACTAAAGATCCTGCGTGCTGAAACCAAGATCGAAAATCCTGCAAGCCGCAACTAAGGTTCAGCCAAATAAATCAAACAAATGTTTGGCTTTTAAAAACCAAAGTTAAAGGAAAAGGAATCCCTAGGCGTGGGTTCTCCAGACTCTTCACTGTTTCCTGTCAAAAAGGGCCTTAAGAATAAAACAAATCTTAAAGGAATTAAAGTCTGCTGAATTCAATCAGGGCTTAAACTGAGTTCTCTTAAGAGACCCAGTTTTCACAAGCGCAGAAAGAGCCATCGCTGCTCAGAGAAGCCTTCAAGCCCCACCGTGTGCTGACTGCAGACCGCGCCCACCTGGGGCCCACGGGCTGCGGTGGGGGCGCCCTGCCCCCCGACCGACAGGGGTCCCGCAGCCTCTGCAGACGCATACCTCGTACTTGTCGTCTATCAGCAAGAGCACCTTGGCATAGTCCTGATCCATGATGGGCAGCAGCAGAGACTGCAAGACGGGGCGCTTCAGCACGGGGGGCGCCACCTGGCTCCACTTCCCGAAAATGGGGTTGAAGACATAGAGCGAACTCATTCCCGTCTCCTGAAATGGGCAAGCAACTGTCAGCTTCCAACAGGAAAAGACTGCAAATCCTAAGGAACTGGGGACCTGACTCAGCCACAGAGGATCCCTTCGTCTTTCCCTGCCTTGTGGAAAACAAAGCTTTGGCTGAAGGTGAAAGCGTCTGAAGGCCGATGTGTCCAAAGGCTAAAAGTGTAACTGCCTCTAGCCCAAAGCCAAGAATGGGTCACACTGAGGAACAGATGAAATGTCTACCTGGCCCCCTTTCCGATGACGGCAGAATGTATGTGCAAAAAGCCATCTGCTCCCTGGGAGACAGAGGCATGAACAGCTGCTGTCCTGCCCTCCACTACCGGGAGAAGAGCAAGCCACCCTCTAGGTACCGACAGCCTCCTGTGTCTGGGAAAGACAGGGCTGGCTCACTAGGGACCTGGCGACATCACACCTACGCACTTCTTCATCGGCCACCCCCACCCCCAGTGGGGGAGGGGGCTCCATCCAGGCAAAAACTGGAAGAACGCAGCCCTGAGCCCTGACTCCCTGCCTGCGCCCTCAGAGAGCCCCGAGGCCCGAGCGAAGCCACGCGGCCGCTGGGCGCAGCGGCGCGGCGGGGGCTCACCCCATCCCGCAGCAGCAGGGCGCACTGGGGCGGCTGGGGGAAGTGCGCGGTCGTCCGCTGGACCGTCAGCGTGAAGGAGCAGCCTGCCGTCACGTTCGGGAGATACTGCTTCCACAGGATGGTGCCAGAGCTGCTCTCGATGCCGAAGAGCTGCAACACAAACAGAAAGGCTGACCCGGAGCTACTTCTGTCCTTGAAAACGAGAACTGGCTCCAGCTCCTGTCCCGGGCTTCCTGTCCCCCTCCCGGGGCCTCTGAAGGGCTCACCTTGCCCGAGGCCGTCACCATCACCATCATCTTCTGGAGGTTGAATTCATCCCTGGCCAAAGTGTCAATGTTGATCTCATTCTTGATCTGGCTCCGGGGCTTCCGAGCATCGTAAAACACTTTCCAGAGGTGGGAGGTCCAGGCCTGCAGCAGGATGAGCTGGGAGGACAGGCGCTTCAGGAACATGCCCAGCAGGCCGTCTGGTGTCAAGGAGAGGGGACCACAGCTGAGGCTCTCTCCTCGTCGGAGTGGGGCTTTCCAACGAGGGGGCACCTGCTCCCCCTAAGGAGGGCTCTCTCCCTCTCCTCCGGAGCACTCGAGTCATCCACACCCCAGGCCACGAGCCCAAGGAGCAGTCCTATGTCCAATGCCAACAGTCTCACACCCAGGCACAGCCGTGCGGGAACTTCTAAGACCTACTCACGGGGCTCTCAGCACGCCGCCCGCCTGCAATCTCGGGACAGGAGACTAGGAGGGCAGGGTGCAGCCATGCAGGGTGCGGCTGTGCCACAAGCACCTCCACCACAAGCCCACATCTACAACGGCCAGCGGAAGGCTTCCGGGCACTGTGCAGAGCCAGAGGAGGGCAGGGCGTGGGGGCACCGGGGTGCACGTGTGTGCGTCATCAACAGACACTTCCGTTTCTCGCGGCGTCAGGCCTACGTTGTCAGTTGCTCAACCTGCTCCCAACAGACCTCCCTGCAGCCCACTCCCAGGGCTCCCTTTCACTCCGCCCCTTCCTCCGTCTAGGCGACTACCACCCTCAGATCTCCTCTGCACCGGAGACAGGTCACCGTGGTAAGGCAGCATGGTAAGAAGCAAGGCCTCTGAGTCTGCAGGTCGGGATTCACATCCCAGGTGCACTGCTTACAGGCCAGGTGGCCTTGAGAAGGAAACGACAACCCTCTCCAGTACTCTTGCCTGGGAAATCCCACGGACAGAGGAGCCTGGTGGGCTGCAGCCCATGGGGTCATAGAGAGTGGGACCCGACTGAGGAATCAAACCACCACCTTGAGAAACGTCCTTCACCTTGCAGCCTCCAGCTCCCCGTCTGTAAAAGGGCACAGCACCTGCTGGGCTGCTGCCAAGACCAGACCTCGTGAGGGACACGCGGGACCTCCCCGGGGCGGGTGCAGAACGCTCACGGGAAAAGGGCCGGGCCTTTCCTCGGCCAACGTCCGTCAACCCCGGCTCAAGGGAGAGAAGCGGCAGGCACACGGGGCGAGTCACAGGCAGGCAGTCCGCGCACGCGGCACACACCGCACCGAGCAAGCCCAGGTCAACAAATGACGGCCTGGAAGCCAGCCGTGTGAGCAGGCAGCAAGCAACAAGGCAGCGGAGGCGGGCTTTACCTTGGATGGCTGGATCCCGGCAGCAGAAGTAAACAGTAAAGGCACATTAATCCTCGGCTTGAGAACACCCGCGGTGCCTAGCAGGGTGGCTGGCCCGAGCAGGCTCCTAGCAAACACCAGCTGGCTGGCCGGGCGGATGGACGGGGGGGGCAGGGGGCAGGACGGACCCAGGGGAGAGTGAAGCAAATTCTCTGGGTGCTGGGACCACAGCCGGGTTCAAAGGGCACAGGCCTATTCCCGCAGAACCTGGCCAACCCAGCCAGGTCTCTCTGGAAAGGTGGGACTCCTGCCTTGGGGAAAACATGTGTATAGGGCCTGACACGGTGCTTGGCAGATTTCAGGTCCTCAAACAAGCAGCTATGACGATGCTACGTTAAGACTCTTTTTCATTGGGATCTTTCCCTAGAAAGAGTCACAAGTCACTCCTTTTGGAGAGGAGTGGTTCCATAAGCCACTAGAGCACAAACGCACTGGAAACAGGGCACAGAGCTGGTTCAGAACAGACTGGCAAAGCGGCCGCACCCGGAAGCCAGGGATGCAGGCCACAGGATTGCCGGCGGTCCCAGAGCCCCCCACCGGCAGCTCTGCTTCCCAGCCCCCCATTCCTACCTGCCTTCTTGCCAAACTCCCCTTCCAGCTCCGCCTGCGCCCCGGTCAGCGGCAGGTCCACCATCTCCAGGCACACCACCTCAGCCAGGGACTCCTCGCGGCTCCACAGCACCACCCTCCCTGCTGCAGGAGCCAAGGTCACCAGACTCAGCCCGCCTCCGCCGTCCCCTGAACGGACCCTTCTCGGAGGCTCTCGGGCCAAAAAGAGACACGGGGCCGGGGGCTGGGGTCAGCAGGTCAAGTGAGGAGCGTTCTGTCTCCCGCCCAGGAGTGCTAAGGAATTATTCAAAGACAGGTCCCTAGGTAGCGCTCTGGGAAAATAGGCAGGATACACTGCACTTGAATCCTTCCTGGAAGTCTGGCCACAGCCCCAGATGAAGGGTCTGAATGCAACTCATGGGCAGGCCCACAAACAGGAGCTGAATGGGGCCCACTCACCCAGCTGCTGCAGGAAAAGCAGCAAGTGATCCTGTGTCTGCACCAAGGCCCGGTAGCCCACGGAGTCATCCTTCTTCAGGAAGACCTGGATGTATAGCTGTGAACCAAACAGCCAAGACCCCTGCAGTCAGCGGGAATCTAGACGCCTCTCAGAGCCCAGACCCCGAGATTCAAAGCACAAGGAGAGGTCAGAGGTCAGGTCATGGCATCCCTGAGTGTCCAAACCACACCGCGCATCCTGAGGAGCTGACAGCAACAGTGCAGGCAGCCAGCCCGGGTCCTCTCTACGGAGGAGCCTGAGACTGTCTCGGCCACCCGAGCATTCACTATGCACCGATCACGCCCCACAAAGTGAGCAGGAGGCCCGGAGTGGACTTTCCATTTTGGAGACTAAGCAGCAACCGCCCAGGGAGGCTGAGGAGCACCACTGAATGTGCAGAGAGGCAAGGCTGGGCAGCGGTAGCGTCTTCAGTCTCAGCAGGCACGGCCTCCTCGTTTATGAGGCTAGGGCAGTGTTAATCAAAAGACTACCAGGAGGATTTTTTTTTAATATTTATTTGCCTGCACCCCATTTTAGCTGTGGGACTTGGGACCTTTGTTGCCACACGTGAGATCTTTAGTTGTGGTATGTGGGATCTAGTTCCCTGACCAGGGATCGAACCCAAGCCCCCTGCATTGGGAGTGCAGAGTCTTAACCGCTGGACCATCAGGGAAGTCCCTCATCAGGAGGATTGAATCCATCAGTGAGTAAGTGAAAAGCTTAGCATGGAGCCCAGCACACTGGCAGCTTGGCTTAAATGGCACTTCTTTTACTGGTATTTATAGGCGTTTCTGGCAAGCTAGCGGCTCAGGCAGAACTACAGTCCACGTCTGGGACCTGTGGTGCGGAGCTGAGCCCGAGGAAAGAAAGCCCCAGGCTGAGAAGCCCCCAGGCCCCGACCTACCCGCTCCGGCCGAGTGCCGTTCTGTTCCAGGCTGAAGGTGATCGCCGTGTCGAGCAGCCGCCGGCCTGTCTCCGCTAAGTAGAGGTTGATGGTGTAGGTCTGGTTGAAGCAAGCCAGTGAGTCCTAGGGCACAGACCACACGGTTCAACTACAGAAGTCCCGCAAAGCAAAGTCCCCCAGAGAAGTCCAAGAACCTGGGTGGGGCTGGGGGTGGGGTGGGCAACATCCTAGAGAAGGACCCGGGGGCCAGAAAGCAAAGCTAAATCCTAAGGCAGAAATAAGGAGCATGAATGAATAAGTAAAATTACAACCACCATACATAACTTACTCCAGAAAAGCAAGGAGAGTGGAGAGCGACTTCTCGAAGAGTTACTGTGAGAACGTAGGCAGGGAAAGCACACCCCGCCTTGGGAAAAGCCGAAGGGACGGAAGCCACGACAGAAACGCGTGCCTCCGGCCAGCGCCCCACACTCTGCTTCAGGGCAGCTGCTCAGACTAACCCTCAACTCCGCCAGTGGGGACCCCACAAGACATGAGGAGACGGAGGCCTTAAGAACAGATTCTAGGAATCCTACTTTCTAATCCCTCAATTGAAAAGATCAAGAGAAGCACGGCTCCCGGCCTGGACCGCTCCTCCAGCCTCACGGGGGCCGGCCCCACCCACGGATAGGTCCAGCGCACTGCCCAAGGCCACACCCTACCTGGGGACCAGGCTTCTCCGAAAAGCTCCCAGGTGACCCATCTTCAGAAACGCTGGGCTTCTGCTATGGAAGCGAGAAAGAGAAAATACAGCCAAAGGGTCACCTCCCAGCCACCAAAACGAAGCTTCCACCTCCAGGTCCTCTCAGCCCCCGGGAGAGGGCAACTCCCACCCCCATCTCCACGCACACACCCCACGCGACCCAGAACAGTCCCAGATGACTGTAAGGGCATCCCACTCCCAGGCACAAAGAACAGCCTCCTGCTCCCCCACCCCCGCCCTGGGTCAAAGTGACCAGGTGAACATGCCCAGGCTTTTGGTTCTCAGGGCTTCCAGCAAAGATAAAGGAAAGAGGACCCTGGGACCTCCCTGGCATTCCAACGGTTAAGATTCAGTGCTTCCGCAGCAGGGGGCATCAGTTTGATCCCTAGTCAGGGAACTAAGATCCCGCATGTGGCCAAGCGCTGTTATTTCCCAATACTCACCGCCTCGTTCCGGCAGGTCATGACTGCAGCCACTGTCTTCTCTCCAGTGGTGGCGAAGCTCACCAGGGCAGCCTGCGGGTGAAGTCAGGTGCCAGTCCCTAAACAGGGCCTGTCCTAGCCTGAGTCTTAGGGTCGCCTCCACCAGAAGAACTCATGGCCTTGAGTTAAAAACGCTCCCACGTTTGGAGCATGACGGCCAGAGCACTGAGGGCAGAGGAAGCCCCACTGCACCCATGGCTGAGCCAGGCCCTGCCGGACCTCCAGGACAGGCAAGCTCAGCGCGGCTCTCCATATCTACAGGGGAGTCCTAATTAACGTGCCCACTCTCCCATGCATTCAGGAAGGTACCAGTTTTACTCCAAAAATCCTCTGTAACTCTCAAAAGAACAAAGTATTCCATTTCTACTCTAAGGCTAACCCCTCTCAAAACACTCATGGAAAGAGGACTTCTGTCTTGAGTAAGTATCTCCAAATTCAAAGGCAAGGATTTCCAGCATCCAGGCCTCAGCTAGACCCACCTGAATCCTAGTGCACCATGCTGCCTGCAGTTACCTGCGGGAAGTTTTTGAGCAGACTCAGGACGCCGTGGTGATAATGCAGCAGTGCATAGTGGCTTGGGGACAACTGCAGGAAGAACTGTGCCCGAGACGGATCCACCGGGCTGGGCTGCGTGGGCAGGATCCGGGGTTGGAATCCACTTGCGAATTCTAGGTCAAGAGACTGGGGGACGAGAAGGAAGAGGCTGAGGGCCAGGAGAGGATGGGGGACGGACTGTCCCAGGCTGGCGGCCTCTGTCCCACTTCGCCAGTGAAAGTACCGAGGCCTCGGCACGGGGCTCCGGAAGCTCTCGTTCAGGCTCTCCAAGGGGGAGAGTGGCCCATCTGCCCTCATTCCAGTGCCGCCAGAGGTCTGACCTCAAAGGGGCTGCCTGGGAGAAAGGGTTTTCCCAGTGGACAAGGCAGCACCTTGGGCTGGGGAAGCAGCTCTAGCCTCTTACCTGCAACGGGATCTGCCTCAGCTCCCACTCTGTCTCCAGGGCCAAGGTCTGCAGGGACCGCGAGCTTAGGTCGGGGCACACCAGGACAGCCTCGTCCACCACACCACAGGCCCCGGTGAGACTCTGCAGCCAGGGGGTTGACACCCTGACCTACATGGAAGACGAAAGGACAGCAGGCTCCTGGGGACGCTCACATTTCCCTCTCAGCTCGCCAGCCCGTCACCACCAGATCCCAGGGGAGTGGCTCGGCTCAGAGGGTCTTCCTGGGGGGCTGTGAAGGAGTCCTTCCTGTCCCTCCCAGCCTCCGAGAGCTCCATAGCTGGAGAAGATCGGGATCTGCCTTCTGGTGGTTTGAAAACTAAACCAGGCCCTTTTCAATACTGGACACTTTTCTCTTGTCCTGGTGAAGTCCAGCTGCAGTTCACTCTTAGCGCTCAGTTCTGAGCACTGAGCATAGAAATAGCCACTTCCTCTCTGCCCCAATGTCACAGGTGCAACAGGGCAGCCGTAGCCACGGTGCCGGCAAGGCTGGAAGCTGCAGGGCAGCAATACTTGACCCTTCCGATTAGCATCTCTCTACTGCGTTTGTCACACGCGGTTTCATATTATCACCCTCAGTATCACCTTGTAAGATAATACAGGCAATGAACAGATCTATGCAGTTTTTTTTTAGCCACCCCAAGAGAGCACCATGTGCAAATCTGTGGGCTCTACATAAATGCCTGATGAGCAGAAGGCAGCCTTAAAGTGCCCAGCATCAGGGACCATGAGTGGCTTTTGCATTCGCCCGGCTTTTGCACTCCAGTGCAAAGAAGGGCTGTACCTGCTCCCCTCCGCAATTCACGAGTCTCCTCCAGCCAGACCGTACCTGCTGAACGATCTCTCCATCTTCCACGTTAAACTTGACAGCGTTCACATGGCTGAAGGGGGCGACTCCGAGGGCCCACACGACCCCCGAGCCGCAGGAATAGACCATCTGGTAGTGGATGCTGTCACTGAGAGAGGGGAGGGAGAGCAGGGAGCCACAGCTTGACCACAGGACGGGACCGCCCTCAGGGATCCGACACCCGGCCGCCAGCGGCTTGGCCAGCAGTCGCAGACTAGCCGTCTCAGACGGGTACTGTTTGCCTCATTTGTTTTAATTTGAATTTGCTGTCAACGTTTAGAACTGAGATTCAGCATGTAACAGTAAGATCTCTAGCTCTTCTTAAAAAAGTTAAGACGCGGTAATGCTAGGCCTGACTACACGGGGCACCGTCATGAGTCAGGCTGCCCCCTTGAGGCGGGCCAGGCACACTGCAGCTCCCAACACCCCACCAGGCCCGCCCCGCGCATGGAGGCTGCGCCGATTCCACAGAATCGGAGCGCTGGGTCCCTGACAAGGCGAGCCGAGGGAATGAGCCACTCCCCTCGCTTGACTGGCTCTCGGGCCCAGGTGGAGCGCCTCCCCTCGGCAGAGGAGACTCCAGGGCAGCCACAGCCTTGGAGTCCCGGCCTAGCGGCCAGTGAGCGCCGGACCCTGCACAGGATTCAAACGCTGGACTCTCAAGGAGGAAGACGGGCTGGTACGCAGCAGGGCGGGGTGGCCGCCACCCGGGGGGAGGCAGCCTTACCTCTCCGGGAGGTGTTCCGCCCACTTCAGGTGCCCACTGGAGAGGTGATGAAGGGCAAGCGTGGTCTTCTTCAGGACCGCAACGTACCTCAGCGCCTCCTGCAGGCCGACCGGCCCGAGGGCCTGGAAACTGAGCACGGGCATGGGTGAGCGGCGCCCGAGCCTCCTGGGCCTCAGGCCGGACGAGCCGGGACACAGCTCGGAAGCTAATGAACCAGGCTTCGGGGTCAGACGCGTCCGGACCCAAATCTTGGCTCTGACTTGAAAGACTGTACCTTCGGCCACTCGACTATACTGTTTCCCTGGAACTCCCTGACCTCCTAAGGGCTGTTCCCTTCTCTCCCTGGGACTTCACAGTAACCAGGCCAACCCTCCACCACTGCAGCCATCAGACAGTTGTCATTAGCAGGCTGCATGCCTGCCGCACCCAAAAGACAATGGAGTTAGCTGATGATGGAAACTGTTTCACATTCACAAGTGGGTTCCCACTGCCTGGGGGCACCCCCAAGCCCTTACCTAAGAAATTACTATCAGAAGATGTATAACCTAATGCAAGCAACTCCATCATTTAAACAACTTTAGCAAGATGTAGCTGAAACAGTACCTCAAATGGCTTTTAAACATAAAATTAAAACACAGGAAGTTTTATACTCCATCCTCATGGTAAGATTAGGAAAAGCAATCGATACCAGAAATGAACACTGCACCCAACATGGAACTCTGCCTCTAACAGGCGCTCAATAAATGCGGAGTAAGCACATGTCCCATAACCTCAAGACATCAAGAATGGATAGCTGATGCTCTCTGGCTCTTTGGTGATTTCTCCCCCTGGGGAAAAAAGTCAAAAGGCCCAGAATTGCTGTCCACATAGAATGTGTGTTCCAACGAAGCCTTTAACCAAACCAGGACGAAATTTAGCTTCTTTCCCTCTACCTGCCACTGTCCAGGGTAACCTCCCAGTTCAAGCCCCCGATGTTCGTCTCCCAGGAGCGCATGATCCGGCCTCCATTGGACACAGTGATTGCATCTGAAAGAGCAAAGATTACGTCAGCTCATCTCCCAAACTGCTGCACTGTCTGGAGCCTCCCAGGGCCTGTGACCGGTGGCCTCACCTCCCACGTACAAGTGCAAACAGAAACTGCACCTGTCCCTTCCTGCTGGGAACACCCCGACTCCCTTCCCTCCCAGACCCTGAACAAAGGAAGGAATCAAGGAAAGAGGAGAGGGCGCTCACGCCATCACAGGGACAAGGCCGGGCTCCACCTACCCTGCCCGCAGAACAGCATGGCGTCCACCACCCCTTCTGCCGAGCCCTTGTCAACGTGGCGCCACACTGGGAGGCAGGAGAGTGAGACGTTACTGTGAGCCGCGGCCAGGCACCCAGGAAGCGCGTGGGAGAGAGCCCGGGGAGCTTTTGCTTGCACACAAGTATCCAGGGAAGGATTACCCTAGGTGGGCAGTGACCCACCCCCACTCCCTGGGTAACCAGGGAAGCCACGCTGTGCTGATCTGAGATCACACTCTTCCCATCCCCACCCCACCCCACCCCACCCGATACAGAAACGGACAAAGACAAAATTCACAAAATCTCTACAACTCACAAGCAAAGCAGTGATTATAAATCACATTTCCATGATTTTAATGCCTAAAAAATCCACAAAGGCAATATAAATAATTGGAGGTGGGGGAGGGGGGAACATCCAAAGCTTCAGTGTAAAATCTTAATAGAAAAATGTGTTTTTTACAGCAATATCTTACTTAGGAACAGTCAGGACGTGGGCTGAGGAAATAAACTTAAAGGCCAGTTATAGGAATATATTAAATACTCAAAAATGGCAAAAGTGAAAAATAAATAAATGATCCGAATCCAGTAAAAGACGCATCTTTCGGCCATGTTGTCCCCAAGGGTGGGGTATCAGCCAGACAGACGTCTCCAGCCACAGGACATCCTGGACTCACTACAGGCAGCCACACCATCCCCAGCTACCCGTCTACACAGTCCACTCACAGATCTCCCCAGTCCGAGAATTCAATGCTGCAATCACATTCTTCTCTGTGGCCACAACCAACTTCTTCGATCCAGGGGAAAATTCCAAAGAGGCAAATTTGAGCTTCCCAACATACTGCTGTCTCCTAAAGGAAAGGGGCCAGGGAAATGGAAGGGGCCAATGTCATCGCCGCACAGGACACTTTGGAAAAAAGACAACTGCACAAATACAGTAAGTTATCACCGTCACAGCTGTCTTGGGATGCACGAGAAATGTTTGTTAATGAAGAGATCTGACCAAAAGCAAGATTTCCAGGCAATGTACTCAGGAACAAAGGGAAGAAGAAGAAAGAATACACCCTAATGCCTAATGTAACACTTTTCCTTCTAAATGCAAGCACGTATTTACCTTACCCAAAAGGGCACCTGGCCTAAATCGCACTACAACAAAATTACCGTCTTCTCTGTACTCATTAATAGTGGGACCAGGGACTTCCCTGGTGGTCAAGTGGGTAAGACACTCTGCTCCCAATGTAGGCGATCTAGGTTTGATCCCTGGGCAGGGAACTAGATCCCGTGTGCTGCAAAATTAAAAAAAAATAGTGGGACTAGACACTCATATTACACATAAGAGAAGAGACGTGAACCCTGTTGTCAATGAGCACACAATCCAACTTTCCCTTTTATTTTCACTGACCTCTGGAGAAAAATTATACAAATAGTCTAACAAAACTTGACAGATTTGAGTCAGGCCTTTGTTCTTTGCAGCCTGTTCTAACCCACACGGTACTCAGGATGCATCTGACTCATTACTCATACTTTCCTTGGAATATATCCCATCACTTTCAACACTCTTACTCTGCATAAAGGGAATGCAATGAGCTTCCCCGGCACACTACCAAGTACAAAGGAGGTGAGCTGCATGTTGCTGTTCACGAATGCGGCTTCTAGCAAATTAAACACATAACATTTATACAGAATTTCCCTTGTTACACTGTCTGGTCTAACTTTTTACAAGAGAAGAAACTATACTAGTATAGAGTGACAGGTTTATATGACATCTGACAGTTTCCATCTGTATTTTAACCTACTTTAATCTCACTGTAATCACTGAACACTTTATGAAGTACACAGGGCAAATAGTATTACTGTCATTCTAGAGGTGAGAAAACCAAAGTCCACTGACATCAACAAATTGCTGTTAGAACTAGGATGCAAAATTAAGTCTAAATCTAAATCTAATCTAATCTTCTAAGTCTAAATCCCATGCTCTCTTTTAAACTGCTGATATCTTTTATCTGGACTATAAAAGTAATGCCTGCTTATTGAAGAAAACATGAAAAATACACAAGGGTATAAAATAGAAAACAAAAAAGTGCCTAAAATACTATCATCCATAAACTTTTTTTTTCAGCCATAAACTTTTTTTCTAGCGATAAACATTTAACATTTTGGTGTATTTGTTTACTTTTCAATTTATAAACTGCATATACCTAGGATTCTGCTAAATTGGATGACATGTACATGTGTAACATATACAACACGGGTTTGAACTGAGCAGATCCACTTACGTGCTGGTTGTTTTCTTTTCTTTCTTTTCTTAGTGGCACCTTGAGGCTTGCGGGGGTCTTAGTTTCTCAAGTGGGGATCAAACCTGGGCCCCCTGCACTGTAAAACATGGGGTCCAGCAGGGAATTCCCTACGCTGGTTGTTTTCTACAGTCAATTCTGCAGCACTACACAACTCATGGTTGGTTGACTCTGTGGGTGTGGAACTGCAGGCGCAGAGGGCTTAATATAGGTTACACTCGATTTTCAACTGCACAGAGGGTCTGCATCCCTAACCCCTGCATTGTCCAAGAGTCAACTGTATATATTATATTGTGAGCATCTGCCCACATCATTAAAACTGAGACTTATGGGAATGGTCCATAAGTTCAGTGCTTAGGACTCCCATGCAGGGGGCATGATTTTGAGCCCTGGTCAGGAAACTAAGATCCCAAAAGCCACAGCACTCCCCCCAACCCACCAAAAAAAAAAACACACACAAACATGACCTATGCTGCATTTGTCACACTGCTTTATATCATGTACTTATATATCTGCCCCCTCACCAGCCTAAGTTCCTTTCCATCTCTGCATCCACAGCACCTAGAACGACCATTGTGCCAACAACAAGCACTCAACAAACATGCGAATCCATTTGTTTGATATAGAAGACTTCACAGAGGAGCTAGGCTTTGAAAGTGTTCCCTGACTAGCAATAATTGGTAACATACTGATTGTACTCAATGAGCCAGTCACTGCGCTGAGTAATTTAAAAGAATTGCCTCATTCATTCTTGCAGCTACTGTGGGAGGTGATGGACTGTCAGTAAACTCAATTACAGATCAAGAAACCGAGGCACAGAGTGGGTTAAGTCATTTTCCTGAGATCACACAATGCTTAAGTGGCAAACTGACATGTCAAGCAAAAGTAAGCCCATTCCCTGGCCTTATTAAGGATGGGGTGGGTGGGTGGCTGGCTGGGTGAGTGAGTGGCGAGTGAATGAACAAAAGTGCTGAATGAGTGAACGAATGAAGAGAGAGTGAGTGAGCCAGTCAGTGAAGGAAAGAATGAATGAATGGCACCTCCTGGCTGGTGTCTTGGGCGGCCCAGTTCTGAGCCCATGGCAGAGTTGGGCTGGAAGGGTGGGGAAGGAGGATCTTCGCCGAAGGCGGTCGACGTCGGACACCCAGCAAGTCAAACAGCTGACAGTCACAGAAACGCGGCCGGGCGGGGAGGAGAAGCGTGACCTCCGACCAGAACCTCAAGCGAGCCCGGAGGGCAGAGCCCGCTACTGGCCTGCGACCCGCACCGCCGCACCAGGACTGGCTCAGAAGAGCCCCCAGTTCTCGCTTTGACGCTCTGCCGTGGCCACCTTAAAACTCTTTCAAAATTTTTGAACGAGGGGGTCTCACATTTCATTTTGCCCTGGGCCCCGCAAGTTATGCAGCCGGCCCTGCTGCAAGGTAAAGCCCTCCTCCTTTTAAACAGAAGAACAGGTACTGGGACAATAGTTCCCGAACAGGAACCGTCCCTCGTCCCCCGCCCCGTACGCACCAATCAAACTTGCCCACTTGGTCTTCGTAGACCGCGGCCGCAGGGATAAGCAGGGCAGCCCAGAGCCACAGCCGGGAAGCCGCGGCCGCCGCCACCGCCATGATGGGAGCGCGGGCCGGCCCGCCGCCGGCCCGGCATGCACCGCGCCGCGGGCCCCGCCTCCGCGGAACCATAGAGTTGCGCTCACAGGCGGGGTCCTCGGTGCGGAACCGTAGAGTTGGGCCCGGCATGCACCGCGCCGCGGGCCCCGCCTCCGCGGAACCATAGAGTTGCGCTCACAAGCGGGGTCCTTGGTGCGGAACCATAGAGTTGGGCCCACAGGCGGGGTTCTCGGTGCGGCGCCCCAGACTCCGGCGTTCCCCGCCCGCGTGGGAAGCCTACCTGGAGACTCAAGGCAGAGGGCAGGCGGCGGCCGGGCAGGGAGAACAGGGCCTCAGCGCGGGCTGGGTCAGGCACGCGCGAGGGCGCCTACCGAGGGCCTTCCCAGAGGCCCCCGCGCGCCGAGGGCCTGACCGGCAGCAGCGTCTTCCGCCCACGAGGCCGCGGCGAGATGCCCAAGTCCAAGCGCGACAAGAAAGGTGAGCCCCGAGGGCCAGTTTGTGGGCCGGCTGTCAGCTGCACTAGGGCTTCGGGGAGGACAGGGGAGGACGCCGGGACCTCTGCGAGGAGGGAGCGGGCTCACGGCGCGCTGGAATGGTTGGGCCCTTGAGGGGGGCGGAAGCGCCGGGGGAGGCTGGAGCCGCGTTGGCGAAGCGAAGAGGGCTTTCCCGGCCTCCGGAGCTACCCAAGGCCGGGTCAACTCTTTAGGTTTTGAAAGTTACTGCAGTTATAACATGGAAGGTCTAGAGCTCTCATAGAGCTTAACATTTTAGTTTTGGGAAGTGTGTCTTCCCAGGATACTAAAAGTTTGAATCTATAAATTCAGATAGTGATGAGCCTCATGTAGGAAAAAAGCAGCTGACGTTCCCTTCTGCAGTGTAGCTAGAGAAGGTCTGTTAAGATTGACAAATGAGCAGGAACTTGCAGAAAGGAAGAAGGCAACCCAAGGAGTTACCTGGAAGGGTGGTGGTCGAAGGAGAGGGAACACAAAGGGCAGAGGACCTGAAGCAGGAGCATGTTTAACTTTTGCCAGAGGCCAGAGTGGGCGAAAGAGGGAGAGAGAACCGAGCAGAGTGTGCAGAGCTTGAAAGAGTTTTGCACGGGATTGGTTTTCACACCCAGGTGAGGTGGGAGGAGAGAGCTTGAGCAGAGGAGTGATGGGGTTCCGCTTTACCTTTAAAAAGATTACTCTAGCTGCTTTGTTGAGAATGGACCGCGGAAGGCAGGGGCAGTGGCAAGGGTGGAAGCAGCAGGACCAGCAGTAATCCAAGAGAACGCCGTGCCGGCTTGGGCCACAGTTGTGGCGGTGGAAATGTTGGGAAACGGGACGGCTGGATTTTGTTTGCCCTCCTGTACTGCACTCGCCCCTGCCTGCTGTGATTACCTTTCTGACATGTGCTTCGTGAAGAGGGACTTCTTATTCATCCATCCAGGTCCCTCCTTGGACCCAGGGCTTTGCGTTTGATGCTCTGTTAAGCGTTTGTGGAATGATTGGATTCTGTGGTGGAATCCGTGGTCAAACCTGGCAAGTGCCAAACCCTTCTGGGTAAGGGGAAAACTGGGTCCCAGCTTTTGTTAGAGAAGAGATGTTTGTCCCTCCCCAAAGAGGCGCCGCTGCATGCACGGATCCAAATTGTAAGACGTGGTGTAGCAGAGGAGAGGCCCCAGACTCATCCTTCCACAGCACAGAGAAGCCGTAGATGGTCTCCACACACTGCAGCCCGGAGCAGGAAGGGACCAGCCCTCGTCATAGGCTGGGTCTCTGGGGGTGCCCCGCCCCCACTCGTCAGCAGGGAGTTAGCCCCAGAGGGGCTGTAGATAGCTGGTTTATCTAGTGACAGGACAGATGTGGCAGGATCTTCAGCTCAGGAAAGCTGGAGAGGCGCTCTACGGACCTGGGGGTAGCCTTGCGAGCTAGAAGCAGCAGCCACAAAAGCCTTGCCAGCTTTCTCAGATCGGCTCCATCCGGCTGGGTGCCGGAGGAGAGACGGGTCTCTGAGACGCTCAGGTTTCTCTCTCTCATCATCTCCCCTTTTTCTTCTCTGTGTTAGTCTCCCTAACCAAAACTGCCAAGAAGGGCTTGGAACTGAAACAGAACTTGATAGAAGAGGTAAGGGCTTGTTTTCTTGTTATTATTATATTTTCCCAGCCCTCGTATTTGGTTTTAAAGGTGGGTGTGGGACTGTCTGTCAGGGACAGCTCTAAACATCCACGGCTGTCAGAGGCCTTGGAGCAGCCTCTTCCCCTCTGGGGCCAGAGTATTACTGCCCCAGGACTTCAGAGCCCCATGAATTGTCCCGTAGCTTCGGAAATGTGTGGACACGTACAAGTACCTCTTCATCTTCTCCGTGGCCAACATGAGGAACAGCAAGCTGAAGGACGTCCGCAACGCCTGGAAGCACAGTCGGTGAGCGGGCAGAGGGAGGCAGGGCCAGGCTGCTTGAAAGTACAGGGGCAGTTGGTGGCCGTGGGCACCTGGGCCACAAGTATTGCCTTCGTAAGGACAAGATGCCACTGTCCCCAACCCATGATGAAGGACGCTTTTTAACTGATTGGGGGCGGGGAGTTGTTTGGTTTTTTCGGTCAGGCTGCTTGGCTTGGTTGGAGATCGTAGTTTCCCAGCCAGGGATCAAACCCAGGCCCTCTGCAGTGGGAGCGCAGAGTCCTATCCATTGGGCCGCCGGAGAAGTCCCTAACTGGTAAAGTCGCTGTTGCCCTGGGGGCGGAGGGAGAGCAGTGATCCCTCCAGGAGCGGGGGCTCCCCGAACCCTGGGGTCTGGGCCCTTAAAGAACATCCAGCAGCTCTGGTTCAGACTGTCCAGCGGGCCTCTGCCTCAGACCCAGGCGCACTCCCGGTGGGCTGAGACAAAATGTGTGCGGGTCAGGTCTGTGCGGGAAAGAACGAGAGGGCCCTGGGCTGCGTGGAAAGCACCCTCTGGCCACGCCTCCTCCTGGGCCAGAGTTCCAGCCCCGGGGCCTGGAGCTGGTTGGCACTTCGCTGACGGCGGGGCACCTCCTCCACAGAGCCCTCTTTTTCTCTGTAGGATGTTCTTTGGCAAAAACAAGGTGATGATGGTGGCGCTGGGTCGGAGCCCGTCTGACGAGTACAAAGACAACCTGCATGAGGTGGGTGCCCGCTCTCACTGGGGCCGGGGGCGACCTGACTGCCCTCCCCGCTCTCACGTGATGCACTCTCCAGCCACGGTCCGGGGCGGGCGTCAGGCTCAGCTCTCCTTTAGTCTCCAGACCCCCTCACAGTGCTCTCCAGGAGTTGCCAAATGTTGGGGGAGCGGGGGCGGCAGTCGTCCCCAGCTGAGAACCACTGCTCCCACGCGATGGACGCCACCCTCCTCTGGTTTTGCAGGTCAGCAAGAAGTTGAGGGGTGAAGTTGGTCTCCTCTTCACCAATCGCACTAAGGAGGAAGTGGACGAGTAAGTGCTCTGGAGGCGCGGTGGGAAGGAGAAGATGGGTGAGGTCTCCCGGGAAGGAGTAACCCAGGACTTGGTCCAGTGGAGGGTCCAAGGAAGACCTGGTTCTTGTAACCTTGTCACTGGGTCTCTATCCTCACAGCTCAGAGCTCCGGGCTGAGCCGAGGAGGACGGGGAGGCCGGGCAAGGCCAGGCAGAGCCTGACCTCAGGTGGATGGGCGTTGTTTGTGGTTCAGTCGCTCAGTCGTGTCCGACTCGCTGCGACCCCATGGACTGCAGCACGCCAGACTTTGTCCATCACCAACTCCCGGAGTTTGCGCAAACTCGTGTCCATCAAGTCAGTGATGCCATCCAACCATCTCATCCTCTGTCGACCCCTTCTTCTCCTGCTCTTAATCTTTCCCAGCATCAGGGTCTTTTCCAGTGAGTCAGTTCTTCGCATCAGGGGGCCAAAGTATTGGAGTTTCAGCTTCCGCATCAGTCTTTCCAAAGAATATTCAGGACTGACTTCCTTTAGGATGGACTGGTTGGATCTCCTTGCTGTTTAAGGGACTCTGAAGAGTCTTCTCCAACAGTACAGTTCAAAAGCATCAATTCTTCAGCGCTCAGCCCTCTTACCAGCTGTCGCATCCATACACGACCGTTTTCTTTTCCCTCAGGTGGTTCACGAAGTACACGGAAATGGACTATGCCCGAGCAGGGAACAAAGCCACTTTCACTGTGAACCTGGATCCGGGGCCCCTGGAGCAGTTCCCCCACTCCATGGAGCCCCAGCTGAGGCAGCTGGGCCTGCCCACGGCCCTCAAGAAAGGTACAGGGGTGTCCCTGGAGGTGAGAGGTCACAGCTGAGGGCCGAGAGCACAGGTGTCCAAGCAGACAGCTCTCCCCACCCCAACCCCCACCTCTCCGGCGGAGAAGGTTATTTCTATCAACCTGTGTTTTGTTGTATGAAAATGGGACCAGGCGTGCCCGCTTTGCGGTCGGGGTGAACGTGGACAGTGACTTGCAGCTAGGATACAGCAGTTAAGGGATGAGGAAGGAGGAGTCGGTGCCCCCCAACCCCCCCATCAGAACGCCCCCAGGCAGCTGGCCGCGCGCTGAGGGCCGCCCAGGCCTCCGTGCTGGGGTAACTGCCCGGGGCCCCCTCTCTGCAGGTGTGGTGACCCTGCTGTCCGACTACGAGGTGTGCAGAGAGGGCGACGTGCTGACCGCAGAGCAGGCCCGCGTCCTGGTGAGGCCCCCACCCCCGGCCCCCACCACCCACCCGGCGGCCGCCTCTGACCGCACTCGCCCCTGCTAACCGTTGTTCCCTCTGTCCCTCGCAGAAGCTTTTCGGGTATGAGATGGCTGAATTCAAGGTGAGCGTCAAATACATGTGGGACGCGCAGTCCGGAAGGTTCCAGCAGATGGGAGATGACTTGCCAGAGAGTGCGCCCGAGTCAGAAGGAGAGTCGGAGGAGGAGGACGACGACAGCTGAGGGGCCGGGGCCCCCGGGTCTCGCCAGGACGGACACGAGGCATTGCCACCGCCCTCCTCGAGAGCGGCCGTGTGTCTGCTATGGACGAACACGAGCAGCGGGGACAAGGACAGACTGTCTTTCTATAAATAATGAGACTGTGTCATTCAGGCTGTCTTCTGCAAAAGGGACTTTTCTTGGGAAAAAAAGGTAAAGACGCTGTGGGGTTTGGGCTTTGGGTTGGACTCCCAGGAGTCTCGTCATTCACCTCAAGCCAGTTTCCAGGACTGGCTCCTGCCTGGCCACGTGGCCGGGCGGCTCCAGGGGCCTGGGAGGAACCGCCTTCTCTCCGGCCTCAGCGGCCCTGGCTGGAAGCTGGATTTGCTGAGGGGAACAGGCATCTCGCCCGCCTGCTCCTACCCCAGCTGTGTTCTCTCTCCCCACCCCTCCTCCCACACCCAGGCCAGGAATCTTGGGGACGACCCGAAGACAGGAGGCTTGGCTAAGGCCAGAATAAAGCCGCCGCTGAAACTGAGCAAGTGTGAGGGATGTCCCCCAGCAGTTTTATTCTTCTGGGTGGTGGGTTTTTGCCCGGATGGTTCTGTTTATACATATTTAGTAAGGTGATTCTACACGAGAGGACATCTACCTCGGGTTGTACGGCCCCCCGTTCTTCTGCCGTGTGTAGAAGCGTGAGGGCCGCCTGCAGCCCTGCTGTTGAGAGGTGAGGCTTGGAGGCCCTCCTGCCACCTCCGCCCTTCAAAGCCTGATCCCTACTCCTGCCCCTTCTCCCCGAGCCTGTGGAGGCGGGAAACAGCCCGCGGCTGCAGAGGAGACGTTCACCGTGGGCCTGGGCTCCTGCCCGGCTGGTGTTCCTTGATTCAGACGGTAAACACGCTGCAGCCCCGGCCTTTTCCTGCAGTGGAGGCTGCGGGGGCGTTCACAGGAACTTGGGAGATAAAAGTCTGTGGACGGGACTGTGAGGGAAGAACCAGCCACGCAGAGCAGCCTCAGATCAAAATCGACTGTGCGAGAGAAAAGAGGAGGAGACAGGTGGAGTGTGCCCTCTGCCACCCCAGACTAGGCATAGTGGAAGTAGTTGGGACAATCATGGGCGACCAGGCGCCAGGCCTGATCAAAGGCCCCCATGATGGCGGGCTCCAGGGGCCCTTCCTCGACGGCCGGCTCCAGGGGCCCTTCCTCGACGGCTGGCAAGTTCTTTTCCAGCTGCTCCAGGCTGGACGTGTCCAGGATGACCGCATCCCCGCCGAGGCCCCGCAAGGGGAGACGGCCAGACGTCACACACACCCCCTCCAACCCCCACCCCTGCCAAGACCTGGGGTCCGATATCTGTGTGTGCAGTCCCTTGGCCATGTCTGACTCTGATCCCATGGACTGTAGCCCACCAGGCTCCTCTGTCCATGGAATTTTTCAGGCAAAAATACTGAGAGTGGGTTGCCATTTCCTCCAGGGTGTCTTCCCAACTCTGGGATTGAACCCGAGTGTCTTGCATTTCCTGCATTGGCAGGCAGATTGTTTACCACTGAGCCGCCAGGAAGCCCCCAATGTCCATACCCTGCATTATCCCAGACAGCTCCAAAGCCCTGCCTCCCTAGACTCACAGAGGCAGGCCTGAGTTCAGAGCCTCTCCCCTCCTGCTCTGCAGCTGGGCAGGCCTGAGTTATTTACATGACCTCACTAAGCTTCAGCTTCCTTTGCAGGGTGATTGTGGGGATTAAAGTTTTGTACTTTACTTAAGGCCTGGCACTTAGGGGCTCAAGAAAGAGGTATATGTGATACCCTATTGGAGGAAGGTATTGGAAAAGTGGAATGGTGGGAAAAGGGACAGATTGCAGAGAGGGCAGCCAGAGACAGAACAAGGCTGATGGAGGAAAAAACATGTCAATACCACACAGCTCCTCTATCTCAGTCGCTCAGCTGTGTCTGACTTCAGGCAAGAATACTGGAGGGGGTTGCCATTTCCTTCTCCAGGGGATCTTCCCAACCCAGGGACTGAACCCGGGTCTCCCACATTACAGGCAGATTCTTTTATCATCTGAGCTACCATTCGGCAAAACTTTAAAAAACTAAAAATGAAATCATACAGCCCTCCCTTCCACTTCCTCCTTCCTACCCGGAGCTGGGAGTGGTGGTACATCCGGCAGAGGGCGACCGAGGTCATGCCGGGGGTTCTGGCACCTATGCAGCCTGCAGGGCCTTCCCCACCAAGGCAACAGCCCGGAAGTGGCGCTCCTTCTAGTAGCTGGGCAGGTAGGGAGGGTGGCAGGGGTCAGAAGCGGGGGTTTCCCGCGGGGCGTCAGTCTTCTCAAGTGGAGGCTTTACCTCCCTGAGCAGCAGAATGCATGTGGATTTCTGGGTTCCTCATCGTGGCAGTCCCTGCCCAGCGCTGGGGCCAGCAGGGATACAGTGGGCAAGAATCCTTGCATAGCACATGCTCACCAGATGCAAACAAGACAACCCCCAATGTCAGGACCATGTCTGTGTGCCCCAGATCACGGACAGGACAAGTCCTGGTTCCAGACCCAGCTCTGTCCTTGGGTCAGCCGCCTGCCTTCAATTACCTGCTAAGTGAGAAGATAGCCCAAGCCAGCCCCACACGGTGAGCGCAAAGCATAAAGGAGATGATGGACCTGCCATGCTTTCTCAACTAAATAGAGCAGAGAAGGTAAAAACCATCAGCCAAGATCCTGGGCCTCCCTGGGGCTTAGATGATCAAGAATCTGCCTGCAACGAGGGCGACCTGGGTTCGATTGCTGGGTTGGGAAGATCCCCTGCAGGAGGGCATAGCAGCCCACTCCAGTATTCTTGCCTGGAGAATCCCCATGGACAGAGGTGCCTGGCAGGTTGCAGTCCATGGGGGTTCAAAGAGTTGGACACAACTGAGTGACTAAGCACCGCACAAGATCCTACAGAGGTGACTTTCCTGGAGGTACAGTGGGTAAAAATTTGTCTGCCACTGCAGGAGATACCGGTTCAAACCCTGGTTTAGGAAGATTCCACATGCCACAGGGCAATTAAAGCCCGGGAGCCTCAACTGTTGAGTCCTGGGGCCATGGCTCCTGAAGCCGGCGTGCCCTAGAGCCTGCGCTCCACGATGGGAGAAGCCACCACAAAAAGCCTGCTCACCGCAATAAAGTGTAGCCCCGGCTCTCCACAACTAGAGAAAGCCCACACCCAGCAACAAAGACCCAAGACAGCCCAAAAAAATAAGTGAATAAATTATTTTTTACAAAAAATATCCTCTAGGAGAGAGGCCCAGGCACTGGTGGTGTGACAAGCGCCTTGACACACTGCTTAAGGAAATGGCTTCTAAACCTAGTCAGACAGAAGCCCTGGAGCGGGTGGGCGCCTGGATGAAGGTTTAAACCACACCACTGCACACACAGGCAGTTACAAATACGAGACACTGTGCTGCTTGAAAAGTCCTGGGACATTTCAACGAAATTAGCACTGAAGCTTTGGAGACAGCTTCTATAAATCTTGAAAGATGAGCAGCTTCCCAGCAGTCCACAGATAATGTCTAAACTGATACATTAAGGAATAGCAATAAAGTATATACGTCAGAGGTCTTACAGTCAACACCAGAGGGAGAGTAAGCTGAAAGAGTTTAAAAACATCACCTCTAAGGAATGTGACTTGGAAAGGGCTTGCTTTTAGCTGCGGGCATGTATTACACTGATAACTTTTTCAAACTTTAAAAAAATGAAAGGAAAAAGGGCTGGTCCCAACAGATGTTCAACTATAACTTTAGACATTGATGACAATTTTATTGCCAAGAATTTACAAAACTTAGACTCAGTTGCCCCAGATGACAGGGCCAGCAGCAAGCTTCAGGATTCCCCAGTCCCGATGCAAGGTTTCTCCTGCCGCCGTGGGCAAGGGGGAGGCTCTTCGAAGGAGGAGACACAGTCTTGCAGACCCAGCAGAAGGGCCAGAGCACCAGTCACTCCCAGAGACACTGGGGAAACCTGACCGGTGCCAGCTGGGTTCTCAGTAAAGCTGAGCTTGAGGGGCCAAGGTCTGAGCAAAAGGGGAGGCTCTGGAACCCAAAAAAGCATCCCCAGGGACTCCCCATTTTCAGACAGTGGGGACCCCCCTCCCACCCCACACGTCCTGACACCATCCGCCCGCAGCTCACCGATTCCTGTAGACCTCTGCCCAGCTGTTCCCAAAGAAGCGGCCCTCGGGCTGTTTCCCGACCTTGTCCTCATACTTGTACCTGCCAGTCAGCAGGCCTCCTGCGGGAAGGCTGCAGTCAGACCCCCACCCACCGCCCCCAGAGGCCATCTGGACCGGAAGTGGGGGTGATAGCAGGGGAACCAGGAGGGATGGAGGTCCTGGCAAACCCCTCCCCTTCCCAGCTCTGGGGCCAGGCTTCTCCCAGGTCAGGATTGGGCAGAAACGGGGGCGGGAAGGCCCTCCCGCCCAGGGGAGCCTGTGCCCGCAGCAGCCCCACAGCCCGTACCAGCCAGAGGGTTGTAGGCGTAGAACCTCAGTCCAAAGCGCCGGAGGCAGGGCAGGAGCTCCGTCTCCACCTGCCGGGTGGTGGCGTTGTACATGCCCTGCAGGCGGAAGGGCCAGCTGAGCGGGGGCCGGCCAGGGAGCCCCAGCCCGCTCTCAAAGTCTTCGGTCAAGACCCCCCAGGACTCCAGCATGGTCTCAAAGTCACTACTTTGGACGGGGAGATGGTGCTGGGCCCCAGGAAGGGAAGGCGGCCTGGCTCTGCCATCCCACACACATCTGCAGGCACCAACCACACGCGGGCTGGGGCCTGAGCTCTCAAACAGGTGGACCTGGTGAGGCCTCTGCTTCAAGAGATGGCAGAGTCGAGTTAGAGGGCACGCTCTGTGACCTTCATCACTTTATTTAACTTCTTCAAGGCCCACTCCAGTAATCGTGTCTGGAAAATTCCTTGAACAGAGAAGCCTGGCAGGCTATAGTCCATGGGGTCACAAGGAGTTGGACACAACCAAGCATGCGTGCGCGTGCACACACACACACACACGGGTACACACACAGACAGCCCCAGTCCGCTCAAGTGTAAATTGAGAACCACAATGGTACGATCTAGTTGGGAGTCTCAGAGGACTGATCAGAACTTTTGACACACTTGGTCATTGAAAGTCAAGGTGTTAGTGGCTCGGCCGTGTCCAGCTCTTCCTGACCCCACGGACTGCAGCCGACGGAACCCGGGTCTTTACCATGGAGTCATCTGCAAAGTGTTGGAGGGCTGCTCATTTGGGATCTCCCATTCCTCCACCACGGCCCCCACCCTTTCCTGATGTTAACTTCAGATCTGAGAGTTAAGAACTTTGGCCCAGCTAGTTCCAGCCTGAAGGAGGGATGAGAAGGAGGAGTTGGAGAAGAAAAAGCAATTAGAAATAAGACCAAACTAAATGCCCAACAGATAAATGCATAAAGATGTGGTATACATATACAGTGCAATATTACTCAGCCATCAAAAAGAATGAAATAATGCTATTCACAGCAACACGATGGACCGATTTTCATACTAAATGAAGTAAGTCAGACAGAGAAAGACAAATATAGTGTGTGTGTGTGTTAGTTGCTCAGTCGTGTCTGACTCTGTGACCCCGTGGACTGCAGCCTGCCAGGCTCCTCTGTCCATGGGTTTCTCCAGGCAAGAATACTGGAACGGGTTGCCATCCCCTTCTCCAGGGGATCTTCCTGACCCAGAGATTGAACCCAGGTCTCCTGCATTGCAGGCAGACGCTTTAACCTCTGAGCCACCAGGGAAACCAAAGGGGGAAGGGGGGCATAAATCAAGAGTTTGGGATTAACATATACACTAACATACATATATACACATATAAAACAGATAACCAACAAGCACCTACTGTATAGCACAGGGAACTATATCCAATATCTTGTAATAACCTATAATGCAAAATAATCTGAAATATGTAACAAAACCACTTTGGTTACACCTGAAACTAACACCACATTGTAAATCAACTATACTTCAAAAAATTAAAATAAAAAAAACCAATAAGAGTTGTCACGGTGAGGCAGCCAAGTGGCCTAGAAAGAGTGTGGCTCTGAGACGCATGCATGTTCTCGTCTTGTTCCAGATCTACCATGCCGTGACCCATTTCTCCCTGAGACACCCCGGAGTGAAAGACGGCACAGGGTGGCAACGACGATGCCAGTATTAACAGTAACAGCTAATGTTTCCGAGCCCACACTGTGTGCCTGCCAGCACAGGCCACATGCACTGAGACGGCATCAGACTGATGGGGGTGTCCCCTGCCCTCACACATCAAACCTCCGCTTGGCCACAGCTGCCTGCTCCAACACCCTCAGTGCTGCTAAATCCCATTGCCTTTGCCCACTCACTGCCCACGCCCACAGCCAGGAATGCCCTTTCTCCTCTTTCTCCGGGAAAACGGTCAGTTCAAGGTCTGATGTGCCCTTTTCTGAGCGTTCTTCTTTGGCTCGTCCCAAGAAGCGGTCCCTTTTCTGGGCTCCCCAGCTGTCTCTAGACGCTGAGCTCCCTGAGTGGGTGAGTGTCAGTTCCCCTTCTACGGCCTTGGACAGAGGCTGGCACACAGCAGGCAGTTAGACAGGGTGCCTCCCCCACTTCCCCATCCCAGCTACTGCTGGTAGCTCCAGCGGCTCCCAGGCGCACCCACCCTGGTGAAGTGGGAGGCACCACGGACTGAACCACACGCCTGGGGCTCCAGGGAGGAGTCCAGGGCTCAGAGCAATGAGGAAGCCGGTCCCCGCCGGTTTCAAAGACCGATCTACAATGGTACCAGGGAGTGCCAGGGTGATAAGGGCAGGACTCCTGCAGATTGGGACTGCACCAGGCACCTGCAGGGGTGGGGAAGGGGGTGGGGGCTGCCCAGCACCAGATTCCGTTTTCAGCCCCCTAAGAGGGGCTAGCCAACTTGTTCCAGGCTAGGTAAGGGTTGCTGAGAGGAAGGAAAAGGAGAGGAAAAGGGTCAAGACAAAGGACTGTCCAGCTACACAGGCTAATGTGCAAGGGCACTGGGAAGCGGGGGATTCACAGAGCTGTGGGGTGGCCAGAGGAGTTGGCACCCTGGGAAGGGGACAAAGATGTCGGTCCTGAGCTTTAATAAACTGAAAAATAGACTTACTATGTGTGTGTGTGCTCAGTCACTTGAGTCGTGTCCAACTCTTTTCGACCCTATGGACTGTAGCCCACCAGGTTCCTCTGTCCATGGGATTCTCCAGGCAAGAATGCTGGAGTGGGTTGCCATGCCCTCCTCCAGGGGATCTTCCTGACCCAGGGATCAAACTCACATCTCTTATATCTCCTACATTGGCAGGAGGGTTCTTTACCACTGAGCCACCAGGGAAGCCAAGACTTACTATATGACTCAGCAAAAACTACACCCTGGTAATCTTGATGAACCTACCTACAAAAACCTTTGACCAATGTAGTTGACTAACATTAACTCCATTGACTGATTTGCCAGTTTAAGGCCAACTCTATGCCTAAGTGAAATTCAATGTGTCATGATGTTATATATTCTTGTTATATATCACTGCACTCAATTGGTCAAAGGTTTTTGAAGGTAGGTTCACGAAGACTAATAGGGTGTAGTTTTTGCTGAGTCATGCAGTAAGTGTATTTTAACTTTCTAAAAACTCAGCTGTTTAAAAAGTTAAACATGAGCAAAGGTTAAAGATTATATTTATCCTTGTATTTGCCATTTCCAGCACTCTTGATTTTGTGTGTGCATAAATCCAGCTTTTCTTCCATCTAAAGTATTTCTCCCAATATTTGCTATAGTGAAGAAGTGAAGTGAAGTGAAAGTTGCTCAGTTGTGTCTGACTTTTTGTGACTCCATAAATTATACAGTCCATGGGATTCTCCAGATCAGAATACTGGAGTTGGTAGCCTTTCCCTTCTCCAGGGGATCTTCCAACCCCAGGGATCAAACCCAGGTCTCCCACATTGCAGATGGATTCTTTACCAACTGAGCCACAAGGGAAACCCATAGTGAAAGCTGGCTATTATGAATTCTCCCTAACCTTTGTCTGGACAAAGTCTTTGCTTTCATTTTTGAAAGGTGTTTTTGTTTGAATTCTTTTAATACTTGAACGCTGGCTGGAGCCTTTGGCAAGTCCCAACAAGAGAACCACAGAGCCAACCTCTGGGGCCTGCAAGATGGTGGGACAGCCACAAGGCACCACCCCTGAGCCAAGAGCACATTTTAGGATCTTCAGTTCAGTTCAGTTGCTCAGTCGTGTCCGACTCTTTGCAATCTCATGACTGCAGCACGCCAGGTCTCGCTGTCCATCACCAACTCCCAGAGCTTGCTCAAACTCATGTCCATTGAGTTGGTGATGCCATCCAACCATCTCACCTCTGTCACCTTGTCCCCTTCCCCTCCCACCCTCCATCTTTCCCAGCATCAGGGTCTTTTCCAGTGAGTCAGTTCTACGTATCAGGTGGTCAAAGTATTGCAGTTTCAGCTTCAGCATCAGTCCTTCCAATGAATACCCAGGACTGGTCTCCTTTAGGATGGACTGGTTGGATCTCCTTGCAGTCCAAGGGACTCTCAAGAGTCTTCTCCAACACCACAGTTCAAAAGCATCAATTCTTCGGCGCTCAGCTTTCTTTATAGTCCAGCTCACATCCACACATGACTACTGGAAAAACCATAGCCTTGACTAGATGGACGTTTGTTGGCAAAGTAATGTCTCTGCTTTTTAACATGCTGTCTAGGTTGGTGATAGCTTTTCTTCCAAGGAGCAAGTGTCTTTTAATTTCATGGCTGCAGTCACCATCTGCAGTGATTTCAGAGCCCCCCAAAATAAAGTCTGTCACATTATTTAGGCTCTTCAACCCTTAGGAAAGGCCCCTGCCGCGGGGTCCTCGGTAAGGGGCACGTATGGGGGGCGGGGCCAACTGCTCACGTCGCCCCGCCCCCGATCGCTCCGCCCCCTGTCAGATGGGCGGGGCCCACCTCTCCTTAAAGCGTCCGCCCTCACCGCGTTGCCCCCAGGTGCGCTCGGCTTCAAGACGGCTGTGTAACGCAACCCGCCGCCATGGCCCAGTCGTACCCACGGGGTGTCCCGACCCGGCCCGCCACCGTCTTGGGCGCCATGGAAATGGGGCGCCGCATGGACGTGCCCAGCAGCGGCGCGGCCGTGCGCACCTTCTTGCAGCACGGCCACACCGAGATCGACACGGCTTTCGTGTACGCCGACGGCCAGTCAGAGAGCATCCTGGGCGGTCTGGGGCTCGGACTGGGCGGCAGCGACTGCAAAGGTAACTCCTGGCGCCCCGGACCTCGGCCCTGTGACCGCCCCGAACCATGCACTGGCCGCGGCCGGGACCGACCGCCTTGTGCACCTTGCTGGGACGCCCACCTCCGCTGGCCACCCCGCAGCTCTGTGAAACCCCCGCTTCCCAGCGCTCTCGCGCATCAGCCCGGACAGCTGGGCAGTATTTGGTCTTGACTGTTTCCCTCTCTCCCAGTAAAGTCCCGACCGTGGCCGAGCCTGGAACGACTTGGCTAACCCCTCTCAGGGGGCCCTGAAAACGGAAGCTGGCGCTGGGCTTGCGCCCTTCCCCCTCCTCCACAGGTGCCCGGTGCGGTCCGGATCTACAGAAGTCCTGCCCTTATCGCCCTGGCAGCCCCTGGCACTCCCTCGCACTCTTGCAGATCGGTCTTTGGAACTGGCAGGGGCCGGCTACCTCATTGCTCTGAGCCCTGGACTCCTCCCTGGAGCCCTGGGCGCTCAGTCCGCAGTGCCTCCCACTTCACCAGGGCTTCCCTGGTGCCCCAGACTGTAAAGAATTTGCCTGCAATGCCAAAGACCTGAGTTCAATCGCTGGGTCGGGAAGATTCCCTGGAGAAGGGCATGGTGACCCACTCCAGTGTTCTTACCTGGAGAATCCCCACGGGCAGAGAAGCCTGGCAGGCTACCGTCCGTTGGATGACAAGAGTGGGACAGGAGTGAGTGGCTAACACTTTCACTTTTCCACTTCACCAGGGTGGGCGTGCCTGGGAGCAGCAGGAGCTACCAGCAGTAGCTGGGATATGGGTGTGGGGAGGTGCCCTATCTAACTGCCCCATCTGTGCCAGCCTCTGTCCGAAGCCATAGAAGAGGAATTGACAGTCACCCAATCCAGGGAGCTCAGAGTCTAGAGACAGCTGGGGAGCCCAGAAGAGGGACCCTTTCCCAGAAAGGGCCAAAGAAGAACGCTCAGAAAAGGGAACGTCAGACCTTGAACTGATACTTTTCCAGCAGAGGAGAAAGGGCATTCCTGGCAGTGGGTGTGGGCAGTGCATGTGCAAAGGCAGTGAGCTTTGGCAGTGCTGAGGGTGTTGGAGCCGCACTGGAGCCGAGCAGAGGTGTGTGGGCCCAGGGGAAGGTCCCCCACCTGTCTGATGCCATCCGAAGTGCTAATAATGTGCCAGGCGGGCACAGTGGCGGCTCTGCAATGATGGGTGATCTGTTAGTAGCTGTGTGGTTGTAGTAACAGTAGATGCTGTTCACACCCTGTGCCATCTTTCACTCCAGGGTGTCTCAGGGAGAAATGGGTCACGGCATGGTCAATCTGGAACAAGATGAGAACATGAACGCATCTCAGAGCCGCACTCTTTCTAGGCCACCTGGCTGCCTCGCCATGATCACTCTGGTCTTATTATTTTTTAAAATTTTAATTGAAGTATAGTTGCTTTACAGTGTTGTGGTCATTTGAGGTGTATAGCAAAGGGATTTACTTATATATATATCTATATATTTCAGATTCTTTTCCATCATAGATCATTATAAGATATTGAGTATAGTTCCTTTGCTTTACAGTAGGTCCTCATTGCCTATCTATTTTATAAATATTGCTTGCCCAATCACTAAATTGTGTCCAACTCTTTGTGACCCCGGGACTGTAGCCTGCCAGGCTGCTCCGCCCCTGGGATCTTCCTGGTGAGAATACTGGAGCGGGTTGCCATTTCCTTTTCCAGGGGATCTTCCTGATCCAGGGATTGAACCCGTGTCCCCTGCATCTCCTGCATTGGCAGGTGGACTCTTTACCACTAAGCCACCTGGGAATCCCCATTTTCTCTATATTAGGGCGTATGTTACTCCCAGACTCCTAATTTATCACCCCCTCCCTGTGTGGTAGCCGTAAGTTTGTCTTCTGTCCGCGGGTCTATTTCTGCTCTGTAAATATATTCATTTGTATAATTTTTTTTTAGATTTCACATGTAAGCGGTATCACATTTGTCTTTGCCTAACTTACTTCGCTTACTATGATCCTTTCTGGGTCCTTCTGTGTCATTGTAAATGGTACCATTCCGTCCTTTTCTGATGGCTGAGGACTGTCGCGTTGTATACGCGCACCACACCTTGTTGACCCGCTCACCTGTCCACAGGCACTCACACTGCTCTTATTTCTGGTTCCTTTTCTTCTGCGGCACCTCCTCCTCCCTCCTTTAGTCTGGAACCAGCTGGGCTGCAGCTCTTAAATCTCAGATCTGAAGTTAATGTCAAGAAGGGGTGTGGGCCGAAGGGGAGGAGGTGGTGGAATGGAAAATTCCAAATGAGTAGGCCTTCAGCCCTCCAGCCTGGTCTCTGCCTCCTCAGGGGGTCTGGCCTGCTGCGGTGACTTTCCAAGAGTAAACAGTGCAGAAAGGGCTTGCTCCTCAGCCGTTACTTTGCTCACCTGATTCTTACTGCAAACAGGGGTAAAGGTATCTTAACGCCTTCCTGACCACACTGGCCTTTTCTCAGTGGGACGTTTCTCTGCCAGAAATATAACCTGCCTTTCCTTCCCTGGGGCCCCAGTTGAGGCCTCTCGCTCCTCTTTCCGGAATTCCTGCCACAGTCTCCTTGCCATTTTCCCTGTTTCCAGACCTGGGCCCGAGGTTCTTTGTGCTTCTTTCGGACTCATCTTTCAAAACTGCAAAGTCGACCCCTTAGCTTCCTGGCTGGAAGTGCTCAGAGTCGCCCTGTGGTCCCCTGAAGTCAGATTCTAAGCGGTGCCCTCAGGGCCCTTTGCGTCACTCTGGTCTGTGGCCCCTTCTCTTGTCTCGTGTACCCCCAGACCTGGTGTTTTAGGTCCGTGGGATCGCAGGCATGACTCCTCAAAGCCATGTTCTTGCCCCAGGGGGGCTTTTGGAGATGCAAAGACTTGGAAAGCCTTCCCTGAATTCTCAGGGCTCCTCTCCCCTGTTGCTGTGTGTCCGGACCTCACTTACTCTGTGGTGCCCCCTTAGACTGTGGGTCCTTGAGGGCAGGCATCCAGGGTTGGCATTGCTCTTGCAGCCCGAGTGCCAGGCGTGGCATCCCTAGCTGTCTGCTAAATAGTCACGGTGGTGATAACATCAGACGCTCATAATGAGCAAGTGTGTCAACGTTCTGACCAATCCTCACGGCCTCCCAACTAGATAGTTCCATTGACACTCTCAATTTACAATTGAGAAAATTGAGATTCTGTGTGTGTTTGTGTGGTGTGTGCGCACACACCATGTGCGTCCTCAGTCATGTCCGACTCTTTGTGATCCATGGACTGTAGCCTGCCAGGCTTCTCTGTCCCTGAGATTTTCTGGCATGGGGCTCAGAGAGGTTGAATAACTTGGTCAAGGTCATAGAGCTGGTATTGGCAGAGCTGAGGTGTGAACCCAGGCCTGCCTCTTAACTATTAACCCTAGATCTCTCCAATGTTTGGTAAGTTGACCTGAACTTCTATTTTTCTCTTCCCAAAGTAAAAATTGCTACCAAGGCCAATCCATTGGAAGAAAACTCACTGACGCCTCACAGCCTCCGGTTCCAGTTGGAGACGTCCCTCAAGCGGCTGCAGTGTCCCCGAGTGGACCTGTTTTACCTGCACATGCCGGACCATGGCATCCCCGTGGAAGAGACGCTGCGCGCCTGCCACCAGCTGCACCAGGAGGTGAGGGCGGCCCCCCGCCCCCCGCTCTGGCCTGTCGGTGCCCAGAGAGCAGAGGCTCCGGGGTGGTCCCGGAGCAGAGCAGGGGCTGGACCCCACGCCCAGGGTCCCAATCTCTGGGACTGGCGTTCTGGGCTGTGGGGGGATCTGACCGTGGCCTCTCCCCCGCAGGGCAAGTTCGTGGAGCTCGGCCTCTCCAACTATGCCGCCTGGGAGGTGGCCGAGATCTGTACCCTGTGCAGGAGCAACGGCTGGATCCAGCCCACCGTGTACCAGGTGAGGCCGGGGCTGCAGACGCCCGTCTCCAGGGCGCCTGCGGTCCCAGCTCCTCTTGGGCCATCCCCTGCCCCCACCTGCCCGCTCCAGAGCAGCCACTCCCCTGCTCCCAGCCTGTAGACGGCCCCTGGGGGCCCTCAGCCTGGCCACGAGCGCCCGCCCTCTCAGGCCCTAGCCCCCCTTCCCGCCTGCTTCTGGCTCTGCGGTCAGCCCGGACTTGCCTCCTCCTTCTCCCTGGAAGGAGTGCCCAGACGTCACTTAGATACCTTTCCTCTGGAAGCCTTTCCCGACAGCCCAGTGGGTCCTCCAGTCTCCAGACCCCATCTTTATGCATTGAGCGAGTATTTCTGAGAATCCGCCGTGATCACAGAAGCCACCTTTATGTGATCACCTGTCCTGTCTTTTCTTTTTTTGTTGTTTGTTTATTTGGCTGCCTCAGATCTTAGCTGCATCATGCCGGGTCTTTCATGGCGGCCCACGGCCTCTCTAGTTGCGGCTCTCAGGCTTAGTTGCCCTACCAGGGATCAGACTCGTGCCTCTTGCTTTGCAAGGTGGAGTCTTAACCACGGAACCATCAGGAGAGCCCACTCTGCTTTGTTTCTAACTCGACTCTGCCATCTCTTGAAGCAGAGGCCTCACCAGGTCCACCTGTTTGAGAGCTCAGGCCCCAGCCCGCGTGTGGTTGGTGCCTGCAGATGTGTGTGGGATGGCAGAGCCAGGCCGCCTTCCCTTCCTGGGGCCCAGCACCATCTCCCCGTCCAAAGTAGTGACTTTGAGACCATGCTGGAGTCCTGGGGGGTCTTGACCGAAGACTTTGAGAGCAGGCTGGGGCTCCCTGGCCGGCCCCCGCTCAGCTGGCCCTTCCGCCTGCAGGGCATGTACAACGCCACCACCCGGCAGGTGGAGACGGAGCTCCTGCCCTGCCTCCGGCGCTTTGGACTGAGGTTCTACGCCTACAACCCTCTGGCTGGTACGGGCTGTGGGGCTGCTGCGGGCACAGGCTCCCCTGGGCGGGAGGGCCTTCCCGCCCCCGTTTCTGCCCAATCCTGACCCGGGAGGAGCCTAGCCCCAGACCTGGGAAGGGGAGGGGTTTGCCAGGACCTCCATCCCTCCTGGTTCCCCTGCTATCACCCCCACTTCCGGTCCAGATGGCCTCTGGGGGCGGTGGGTGGGGGTCTGATTGCAGCTTTCCTGCAGGAGGCCTGCTGACCGGCAGGTACAAGTATGAGGACAAGGACGGGAAACAGCCCGAGGGCCGCTTCTTTGGGAACAGCTGGGCAGAGGTCTACAGGAATCGGTGAGCTGCGGGCGGACGGTGTCAGGACGGGTGGGGTGGGAGGGGGTCCCCATAGTCTGAAATGGAGACGCTCTAGGCTGCTTTCCTAGGGCCTGCAGGCTTTTCCTTGCTGCCTGGATCTAGCTCTCTTGAATCCTGGAGGAATTAGGAAACCCTCTGGAGGGTTTCTTCTTGCATTCTTGGAACCCCTGATAGGAATGAGGCTCCCTGGACCTCATGCTCAACCTTCCAAGGCATGGTTCATCCCTGAGAAGTGGTGATCACCCTGCAAGAGGGAAAGACGGCCCCAGATGAGGAGCAGGCGGCCTGGGGTCAACGTGGGCCCTTGAACTGGCTGCCTGTTTCTCCAGGTAAAGTAAGGGCAGGGTTTGAGTTCTTGGGAGTAGACATCATGAGGTCTCTGGTGAGGGAGCCAGCGTCCTGTGTGGTTCCACTGCCCCCCAAAGCAGGAGACCTCCTGCTTGAGGGGACACCAGCCCCTCGATACTGCAGGCTTGGGGTGGGTGCAGCTGCCCGGTTGACTCTTAGGCAGTGGCCCCCCGTATGACCCCGTGGTCCTGACCCCGTGCTACCCTCCCCACCTGTCCAGCTACTGGAAGAAGCACCACTTCGAGGGCATCGCTCTGGTGGAGAAGGCCCTGCAGACCCAGAGGGATGTGTACAACATCAAGGCCCCCAGCCTGGCCTCAGCTGCCCTGCGGTGGATGTACCACCACTCCCAGCTCCAGGTAACCCCCATCCCTGGAAGCCCCGCTCTTGCTCTTTTTGAGGAGCCAGCATGATTTTTAAACAGTTTTTCCCTCTGAAATCCCCCTCTGGTCCGGTTCTCACGGCAGCCTTCCTGTTGTTCTGGGTAGCTGCCCAAATTCCAGGCTCTGTCATGAGGGCTTTAGAAGCACGGATTGTATGATTACTTAGGGCTGATGAGGTGGGATTATTCCAGTTTTACTGATGAGCAAACAGCTATGAACGGGAGAGAAAGTTGTAGTCACGGACTTGATATAAAACCCGCTGGTCCTGCTCCTCTGGGGGGAGTGGGGTCTCCTTCTCTCTTTGGTGTCCCGTCTTCTGGCTGAAACTTTTCTCCAGCCTCAGCCGTTCACAGTGGCATAGTCTGTGGCACGCATACAGCAGGTTTGCATTAAGTGGGAGTTAGGTGCTTTGAATAATTTCTCATTCCCACAAGCACAGTGAAAACTGAGATCTGAGTCCCTGGGCTTACACAGCTAAGTCAGGTTCGCACGGGTCCTGGGTGGCAGACCCGGGCTCTGAACTGAGGTCTGAACGAGCACGAACATCGTGGCAGCAGGGCAAAGAAGACGGGCTTCGGGGTCGCGCGGTTACGGCTGCTGCACGCACCATACGTGCTCTGTACAACTATCGATCGCTTACAGTGAACGACGTCGGCTTCTTGATCTCCGAAGAAGATTCAGCTTAGGGACCAAGGACCAGGCTTGATCACTCACAGCTTTCGTGTGGCAGAAGTTTATTACAGTGAGAAAGGACAAAGAAAGCTTCTGACACAGACATCAGAAAGGGTCAGAGAGTGCCCCATGCGCTAGTTTTATCAAGGCCTTATATACTCTTACGGCTTCCCTGGTGGCTCAGATGGTAAAGCATCTGCCCACAGTGTGGGAGACCTGGGTTCAGTCCCTGGGTTGGGAAGGTCTCCTGGAGAAGGAAATGGCAACCCACTCCAGTATTTTTGTCTGGAAAATCCCATGGACAGAGAAACCTGGTAAGCTACAGTCCATGGGGTCACATAGAGTCAGACATGACTGAGCGACTTCACTTTCACTTTATATACTTTTACCAGACCCACTCCCACAACATATGTTAACCTTTCTATTGAAAGGTCTTACCAGACCCACTCCCACTTCACATAACAGGATTAGTCAGAAGGTTCTTGTTAAAAAGGAGAAACATGTCCTCCAGCAAGATACACTGTTGTTATATAATCCTTCAGTTCAGTTTAGTCGCTCAGTTGTGTCTCTTTGCGGTCCCATGGACTGCAGCACGCCAGGCCTCCCTGTCCATCACCAACTCCCGGAGTCCACCCAAACTCATGTCCATTGACTCGGTGATGCCATCCAACCATCTCATCCTCTGTCGTCCCCTTCTCCTCCTGCCCTCAATCTTTCCCAGCATCAGGGTCTTTTCCAGTGAGTCAGTTGTTCGCATCAGGTGGCCAAAGTATTGGAGCTTCAGCTTCAGCATCAGTCCTTCCAATGAATATTCAGGACTGATTTCCTTTAGGATGGACTGGTTGGATCTCCTTGCAGTCCAAGGGACTCTCAAGAGTCTTCTCCAACACCACAGTTCAAAAGCATCAATTCTTTGGCGCTCAGCTTTCATTATAGTCCAACTCTCACATCCATACATGACTATTGGAAAAACCATAGCCTTGACTAGATGGACCTTTGTTGGCAAACTAATGTCTCTGCTTTTTAATATGCTGTCTAGGTTGGTCATAACTTTTCTTCCAAGGAGCAAGCGTCTTTTAATTTCATGGCTGCAGTCACCATCTGCAGTGATTCTGGAGCCCAAAAAAATAGCCACTGTTTCCATTGTTTCCCCATCTATTTGTCATGAAATGATGGGACCGGATGCCATGATTTTAGTTTTCTGAATCTTGAGCTTTAAGCCAACTTTTTCACTCTCCTCTTTCACTTTCATCAAGAGGCTCTTTAGTTTCTCTTCACTTTCTGCCATAAAGGTGGTGTCATCTGCGTATCTGAGGTTATTGATATTTCTCCCGGCAATCTTGATTCCAGCTTGTGCTTCTTCCAGTCCAGCGTTTCTCATGATGTACTCTGCATATAAGTTAAATAAACAGGGTGACAATATACAGCCTTGACGTACTCCTTTCCCTGTTTAGAAACAGTCGGTTGTTCCATGTCCAGTTCTAGCTGTTGTTTCCTGAAATCTGCATACAGATTTCTCAAGAGGCAGGTCAGGTGGTCTGGTATTCCCATCTCTTTCACAATTTTCCACAGTTTATTGTGATCCACACAGTCAAAGGCTTTGGCATAGTCAGTAAAGAAGAAATAGATGTTTTTCTAGAACTCTCTTGCTTTTTTGATGATCCAGCAGATGTTGGCAATTTGATCTCTGGTTCCTCTGCCTTTTCTAAAACCAGCTTGAACATCTGGAAGTTCATGGTTCATGTATTGCTGAAGCCTGGCGTGGAGAAATTTGAGCATTACTTTACTAGCGTGTGAGATGAGTGCAGTTGTGTGGTAGTTTGAGCATTCTTTGGCCTTAGTACAGAGCTTAAGATGAGTTGTTTTGTTAATCATTAGCTCTGGGCTTAAAGAAACTAATAAGGTCTTATGTAACTAAAACTAAGGAATGTAAGAAAAAAAAGTTTGTCCTTTTCTCCTTCTTGAGAGCCCCAGACCCTTTTCTCCTCCTTGGGGACCCCGGACTTCTTATCAACCTACCTGAGAATTAACTCTCTCTCCAGGTAGGGTGTGAAGAAGATGCCTGAGCCCAGGTCTTGGCAGGGCGGGGCTGGGAGGGGGTGTGTGTAATGGGGTCCCTGTGGAGCATCTGTGTGTGACGTCTGGCCATCTCCCCCTGCAGGGCCTCCGCGGGGATGCGGTCATCCTGGGCATGTCCAGCCTGGAGCAGCTGGAAGAGAACTTAGCAGCCGTCAAGGCAGGGTGTCTGGGGTCGGCTGTCGTGCAGGCCTTTGATCAGGCCTGGCGCCTGGTCGCCCACGACTGTCCCAACTACTTCCGCTAGGCTCCTGCCCAAATCAGGCGCCGAAGGGTTCTTTCTTTTCTGTCGCCTCTTCTGCGCTCTCCCTGGCCGGTCTTTGCCTTAAGCTGGTTTCGCGTGGTCTTTCTCCACTGTCTGGATCCGGGCGTTACTCTTCTAGACCCCCGCCTCGCTCCCTGTTGCCCTCACAATGTATAACGCCGTGGGCTGAGCCCCTCTGGGGCACTTCCCGTCTGAATGAAGCCAACCCTAGGCCTGCCTGTAGCCCGGTCACTGAGTGGACCCGCAGATCTGTCTCCTCAGCTGTTGTGACTTGGCTCCTCCCTGCCTGGGCCTTCCTGCCTGAGGAGTGGAACCACGGGCCGGAGCCTCCACGGGGCAGAGGCGGCGGGAGGGCCCCCAGCCTGGCCTCTCGGTGGGCTGCAGGCGGCCCTCACGTTCCCCCATGCCAGAGGGGAAGGGGGCCATCCCCCCCGAGGTGGCTTTTCTCTCCGAATTATCTCACTAAATACTCAGAAATGGGGGGATTTGGGCAAAAGCCCAGCGTTAGCGTCACAAGAAGAATGAAAGCCCCAGGACGCCGTGGGGCGTTCACCCGCAGCCACCCATCAGCGCCTTCCCTCCGCCCTGCCTCCTGCTCGTCCTCAGAGTCTCCGCTCTGCCGCTAGGCCTCCGTGATGGGAGCGGCGCTGGCAGCCAGGACCCCCATTTCCGCCGGCAAGCCCCTGCTCCACGTAGGAAGCACCCAAGACTTCACCCAAGAAGAATGAAAGCCCCCAGGACGCCGTGGGGCGTTCACCCGCAGCCACTCATCAGCGCCTTCCCTCCGCCCTGCCTCCTGCTCGTCCTCAGAGTCTCCGCTCTGCCGCTAGGCCTCCGTGATGGGAGCGGCGCTGGCAGCCAGGACCCCCATTTCCTCCGGCAAGTCCCTGCTCCACGTAGGAAGCACCCAAGACTTCGCCCAAGAAATGCAATCCCAGGCCTGGTGGCTGCTCTCTGAGCATGCCCAGGCATCACACCCTGGGTGGGCGGGGGGTCGTGGGCCAAGCAGCAGCAGGCGATGAAAGGGGCTTAGCTTGGAAATTCAGACGAACCCACCAGTCAAAGAGTCTTTGTTGGACCCCCCTGGAGGCCCAGGGGTTAAGAATCCAGCTGGCAGTTCAGGGGACATGCGGTCAATCCCTGGTCCAGGAAGATTCCACAAGCTATGGGGCAACTAAGCCCGTGTGCTACCCATATACCCTAGAGCTGAGCTCTGCAACAAGAGGAATCACCGCTCTCTACAGCTGGAGAGAGTCCGCGCACAGCACCAAGGACCCAGCACTCAAAAAGAATGCATTTGAATCGGTTCTAATGAGGTGGATGAAACTGGAGCCCATTATACAGAGCGAAGTAAATCAGAAAGAAAAGCACCAATACCGCATACTAACGCATACATATGGGATTTAGAAAGATGGTAATGATGACCCTATATGTGAGACAGCAAAAGACACAAATGTAAAGAACAGACTTTTGGACTCTGTGGGAGAAGGCAAGGGTGGGATGATTTGAGAGAATAGCACTGAAACATGTATATTGCCACATGTGAAACAGATCGCCAGTCCAGGTTGGATGCATGAGACAGGGCGCTCAGGGCTGGTGCACTGGGACGACTCTGAGGGATGGGATGGGGAGGGAGGTGGGAGGGGGTTCAGGACGGGGGACACATGTACACCTGTGGCTGATTCATGTCAGTGTGTGGCAAAAACCACTACAATATTGTAAAGTAACTAGCCTCCAATTAAAAATAAAGAAGAGAATAAAAAAATTGAAAAATAAAATTTTAAAAATGTGAAAAAAAAAGAAAGGACCCAGCACAACCATAAATAAATAAATAATTCTTGAAAAGAGATTCTGTTCAAAGGAAGGTCCTACTCGCCATTAATAAAAGGAGACACACACCCTGCGGTAAAGTCTTATTATTTACAACAAAGACACCCTCCTCTGTCATCACCCATAATGAAATGGATGCTTCCCCAAGGGTAATTACCCTCCTCATATTATTATTACTTATTTTAGTTCTACCAGTTTATTGCTACCAACCCCTCTCCGTCCACCCTCCTGCATGCATGCTCAGTCATGTAACCCCACAGACTGCAGCCCGCCAGGCTTCTCTGTCCATGGACTTTTCCAGGCAAGAATACTGGAGTGGGTTGCCATTCCCTTCTCTACCTGCTCATATTAATAATAATATAAAAATTACTGTTACGCAACAAACCACCCTAAAATTCTGTTGCTTGAGATGACAAAATCTGAAACTGAGCTAAGAAGGTTCAATGCAATTTCTATCATAAATATCTTAAGAAGATCAAGTACAAAACTATAATCTATATTTTAAGGAAGAATAATAGCTCTTCTGTGCTGATGCATCCCCTGCCTTAAGGGAGGAAACACAAAACCTGAGAGGTTTATGCTGAGGTGGAGGGAGTGCTCTCCTCATGTAAAGCTCTATGGCTTGGGGATAAAGGGATTGGTACTAGCGCCTGAAACTGAACATGTTAGAGGATGTCATCTCTAAAGTACGGTGGCCATTCCCTTACTGAACTGCATAGTTTGATAAGTGCATTTGGAATCTGTTGAGGCAGTCTGAGCTCGGGTTGGAAAAAAAATTCCAGACACAGAGCATTTGGAATGGAGTGCATTTACTAAGAGCAAGGAGCAGAGATAATGAGGGCACTGTGAGCCCAGCAGTTTGGGTCGACCTCCTGATGGTCCAGGGAGAGCTGAGAGGCTGTTTCAGAACAGTGGGCTAGCTCAAGAAAGACCCGAGGTTGTTCCTGGAACCTACCGACAAAACCTCTGGCCAACTGAATACAGTAATATACGAGGATAATACATCCTGACTCATTACATTTCATTCCGAGAATACAGTTTGCTTTATATTTACAAATCAATCAATGTTGCAATGACATCAATCAGTTGGTTGGTCAACTCTGTTGGTCAGAGGTTTTTGTAGGCAGGTTCATGAAGACTACCGGGGTTAGTTTTTGCTGAGTCACACAGTAAGTGTTTTTTTAACTTCATAAAAACTCACTTCTCTGTTTAAAAGGCTAAACATGAAAAAACGTTAAAAGTTATATTTATCCTCACATTTACCATTTCCAGCACTCTTCTTTTTGTGTGTAAATCCAACTTTTCTTCCATCTAAAGAATTTTTCCAAATACTTGCTATAGTGAGAGCTGGCTACTATGCATTCTCCCCAACCTTTGTCTGAGCAAAGTCTTTATTTTGCTTTCATTTCTGAAAGGTGTTTTTGCTTGAGTTCTTTCAGTACTTTAATACTAATGCTGGCTGGAGCTTTTGGCAAGTCCCAAAAGAAAATCACAGAGCTGACGTCTGGGGCCTGCAAGGTGGCAGGAAAAGCAATCAATATAGTTGAGTGTACTAACACCGGGGCCTTCTCAGGTGGCGCAGGTGGTAAGGAACCTGCCTCCCAGGAGACGTAAGAAACAGGGATTTGATCCCCGGGTTGGAAAGATCCCCTGGAGGAGGGCATGGCACCCCACTCCAGTATTCTTGCCCGGAGAATCCCATGGACAGAGGAGGAGCCTGGCAGGCTGCAGTCCATGGGGTCCCAAAGAGTCAGACATGATTGAAGTGACTTAGCATGTACACATACTAGCATCAAAGAATAAAACCCTTATGATTATCTCAATAGATGCAGAAAAAGCATTTAACAAAATTCACTACCCATTCATGAAGGAGAAAGAAAAAAACCCTCAGCAAAATAAGAGCAGGGAATTTCCTCAAAATGAAAAAGGGCATATACAGAAAACATATAACTGACATTATATTTAATAGTGAAACAATTTTCCCTCTAAGGTTGGTAACCAGGCAGTGATGTCTGCTCTTGAGGCAGGAGGTAGATGGGTCCCACCAGGGTAAACTAACTAGACATTCATTCCCTGTGAACCGAAACTCCAAGATGAGAAGAGCAGGACAATTAAAGAGAAATAGCCAGACCCTGACTAGACCACGTATTTGTCATTCTCAAAGTCAGAAGACCTTCCCAACCACACACGCACAGAAGGGCTCCTCAGAGGTCAAAGGGGAGTGACATCAAGGGATACTCTACCCATAGCCCTTTGCGGTAGAATCCGTCTTGGCTAAGAGATGCGTGCGCCCACATGGAGAATCCTGAGATGTCCTAACTGTGGACTGTGAACCAGGAAAATCAAAATGATTGGCCAAAGAAAACCCGGAAGACATGCCTGATAAAAGTAATCAAAATTGCCACAAGGGCGCGACACTCTCTCCTCTCTCTCTGCGTCTGCTAGTCTATCTATCCACATGGACTGTACTCTTTTCCCACTTAAAAAATTCTTAACCTGTTTCACCACTTTCCATCTTTGTGGGAATCCTTTTCTGCAAAACTGAAGGGCCAGGGCCCTTGTCTGTGACCACTGGTCTAGTGGTTAGGATTTGGTGCTCTCAGCACCACAACACGGCCTGAACCTCTGGCTGGGAACCCAAGCCCCGCTTCAAGCCATTGCAGGGCGAGGCTACCCAAGGTCACTCTCACACCTCTCACTCAATACTGTGCTGGAGGTTCTAGAGATGCCAATGTAGGCCAGTGTGCATGCACTGCAGCAGGCAACCTCTTACATAACTACACAGCCACTGTCACACTGAAAATAAATGAACAATTCTTTTGTTTCACTTCATACCACATCTATATTCAAATATCCCTGATTGTTTTAAAAAAGTTTCAGGTGGCTTCACGACTTCCCGGTGGTCCAGTGGCTAAGACTCTGTGCCCCCAATGCAGAAGATAAAAAAAAAAGAAGTTTCAGTTGGCTTCCATTAGGATAAGACATGGTTGACACATTACATTTCATTGTTATATTTCAAAAGTCTGGTTTAAACTTCAGCAGTGGCCGGCGGCGAAGGGCGGGGGAGGAGGAGGAGGAGCGAACCGGGCTTGGGGGGCGGCTGCACAGTCTCCGGGCTCCTCAGGCCTTGAGGGGGTTCTGCGCGCGGCCGGCTGGCTCTGCCCCCCCGTCCGGTCCGGAGCGGGCCTCCCTCGGGCCAGCCCGATGTGACCGGGCCCAGCGGAGCCTGAGTAAGGAGCCGGTTCGTCGCGGAGCCGGAGGGCGGGAGGAACATGACATCGCGGAGATCCTGCATGTCACAGTGAATGTTGACGATTCCTCATGCTGCAACTAAGATGCTTCACAGCCAAATAAATAAATTAAAAAAAAGAAATATGGTTTCACCCAAATATCACTGGCGTGGAGGCAGAAAACCTACTGTTGACAAGAGGAGTTGACGGCAGTTTTTTGGCGAGGCCCAGTAAAAGCAACCCTGGAGACTTCACACTTTCCGTTAGAAGAAATGGAGCTGTCACCCACATCAAGATTCAGAACACTGGTGATTACTATGACCTGTACGGAGGAGAGAAATTTGCCACTTTGGCTGAATTGGTCCAGTATTACATGGAACATCATGGGCAACTAAAAGAGAAGAATGGAGATGTTATTGAGCTCAAATATCCTCTGAACTGTGCCGATCCTACCTCTGAAAGGTGGTTTCATGGACACCTCTCTGGGAAAGAAGCAGAAAAATTATTAACCGAAAAAGGAAAACATGGTAGCTTTCTTGTGCGCGAGAGCCAGAGCCACCCTGGAGATTTTGTTCTCTCTGTCCGAACTGGAGATGACAAAGGGGAGAGCAACGATGCCAAGTCTAAAGTGACCCACGTCATGATCCGCTGTCAGGAACTGAAATATGATGTTGGTGGAGGAGAATGGTTTGACTCTTTGACAGACCTCGTGGAGCATTACAAGAAGAATCCTATGGTAGAAACACTGGGCACAGTACTACAACTCAAGCAGCCCCTCAACACAACTCGTATCAATGCTGCTGAAATAGAAAGTCGGGTTCGAGAACTAAGCAAATTAGCTGAGACCACAGATAAAGTCAAACAAGGCTTTTGGGAAGAATTTGAGACACTACAACAACAGGAGTGTAAACTTCTCTATAGTCGAAAAGAGGGTCAGAGGCAAGAAAATAAAAACAAAAATAGATATAAGAACATCCTGCCCTTCGATCACACCAGGGTCGTCCTCCATGATGGTGATCCCAATGAGCCCGTTTCGGATTACATCAACGCGAACATTATCATGCCTGAATTTGAAACCAAATGCAACAACTCAAAGCCCAAGAAGAGTTACATCGCCACCCAAGGCTGCCTGCAGAACACGGTGAATGACTTCTGGAGGATGGTGTTCCAGGAGAACTCCTGGGTGATTGTCATGACAACAAAAGAAGTGGAGAGAGGAAAGAGTAAATGTGTCAAATACTGGCCTGACGAGTATGCACTGAAAGAATACGGAGTCATGCGCGTTAGGAACGTCAAGGAAAGCGCTGCTCACGACTATACCTTAAGAGAACTTAGACTCTCGAAGGTTGGACAAGGGAATACGGAGAGAACGGTCTGGCAATACCACTTTCGGACCTGGCCGGACCACGGCGTGCCCAGTGACCCAGGGGGCGTGCTGGACTTCCTGGAGGAGGTTCACCACAAGCAGGAGAGCATTGTGGACGCGGGGCCCGTGGTGGTTCACTGCAGTGCTGGAATTGGCCGGACAGGGACGTTCATTGTGATTGATATTCTTATTGACATCATCAGAGAGAAAGGTGTTGACTGTGACATCGACGTTCCCAAAACCATTCAGATGGTGCGGTCTCAGAGGTCAGGGATGGTCCAGACAGAAGCACAGTACCGATTCATCTATATGGCTGTCCAGCATTATATTGAAACACTACAGCGCAGGATTGAAGAAGAGCAGAAAAGCAAGAGGAAAGGACATGAATACACAAATATTAAGTATTCCCTGACGGACCAGACAAGTGGAGATCAGAGTCCCCTGCCACCTTGTACCCCAACACCATCCTGTGCAGAAATGAGAGAAGATAATGCTAGAGTCTATGAAAACGTGGGCCTGATGCAGCAGCAGAAAAGTTTCAGATGAGAAGACCCGCCAAGACGTCAAGCACAGAAATAGATGTGAACTTTCACCCTCTCCCTGAAAAGATCAAGAACAGATGCAAGAAAGCTTACATGAAGAATGAACTTGAATTTGGAAGACTTGCACTGTGGTTGGCTACCTTTTGATAAGCAAAATTTGAAACCATTTAAAGACCACTGTATTTTAACTCGATGACACCTGATTTCCAGTTACTCATGTCCTCAGATAAGAAGAAATCATCTCTATGATGTAGACAGTGTTATATTTTATGGAATTTTATTTTAAATTAAGGAAGCAGTTAAATTGTGTTGTATATTTTACAGATCATGGAGACTCAAATTCTAGTTGTTGGCATTTTTTTTTCCTTTTGATAACCTCAACAGATAGAGTTTCCCCTCCCCTCTTTGTGGGGGATGCTAGGGCACTTGTAAGAGGAAAAATGATTTGGGAAAATTAAGTAACAACATCCTATAGAAGAGAGAACAGTTTTATTTATCATCACTTATCCAGCAGTGGATAATTCATTTTGATGGCCTCTTATTTTGGCTCAAGAATAATTAAGCCAGTGCCCCAGACTGTCTACCTTTGCATTGACATTAAAAAATCATGGAGGGAAAAGATCATTGGAACTTAGGATAAAAGGCATGCTTTCTTCTTAGCAGTTGACCAATTCCCATTCAGCCTATTGACTGAAAATGTTGTGGTGGGAAAACATTTGCCATCTTATCTTTTCATTTGAGTAATTGTCTTGTGTTTGGGAAAAAAAATTGTGTCTCTGGAAAAAAAAAAAAATAAACTTCAGCAGTCTCACCACTTCTCATGCATTTGTTTATGGAAGAGATCTACCAGCTGGCCTGTAGGACATCTCACATTCTTTTTGCATAGTCATAGTTTCATTGAACTTGTTCCTCGTATTTTTCACCAAATGGAAGTGCTAATGACTCGCTTATATTCTAGTTCAACATTTTTTCCCCCTCAAGAATACTTCATCAGCAGTCCGTGTACTTCCTGATGCGTAACAACAAGGAGATACAAGTGCGTGGGTGACCCACTCCTAATCATGCTGAGATCAAGCAGTGGGTTCGCGTGGTGTCAGTCTGCCCCGCCCCGCCGGCAAGTTCCCAATCTTTCATTTTAGGGTTTCGTTGCAGAAAGGGGCACCCTGTCCAGGGTCTGAGAGTGTCTAACACTTGGAAATCAACTGTCCGAGGAGATACACATGCTGACAGAGCAAGGGGCTTTACCGGGAAGGGGCACCTGGGCGGAGAGCAGGTCAGGGAACCCAGGAGGACTGCTCTGCCATGGGACTTGCAGTCTCAGATTTTATAGTAATGGGAAGAGTTTCTGGGTTGTCTCTGGCCAATCATTCTGACTCAGGGTACTTCCTGGTGGCACACACGCTGCTCAGCCAAGATGGATTCCAACAAGGAGGATTCTTGGAAGTTGGCAGGACATACAGATTGGCCTCTCCTCTCTCCTTTTGACCTTTCCCAGATTTTTCTGGCAGGTGGTGGCTTGTTAGTTCCTTGTTCCTTACCAGCACCTTCTGTCCTAAAATAACTCATGCAAATACTTACTATGGTGCCTGGTCCAAGGGTGTGGTTTCAGTCAGTCTTTCCCCTAACAGTTTCATGTACTGATGATCTTTGTCTGAATTAATCAAGATAGAATTTTTAAGTCTCAGATTATGTTGTGTACATGCTAAAAACAGATCTTAGAAGTATACGTTTAATATATATGACCTTCTGACTACAGGTGGCCCCTGAACAACATAGGTTTGAACTGGGCAGGTCCACGTATACATCAATTTTTTTTATTCAGTAGTAAACACTACAGTCTGAATTTGGCAATAAGGGGTTCATGATCTGAGCCACAGTCAGCTCCCAGTCTTGTTTTTGCTGACTATATAGAGCTTCTCCATCTTTGGCTGCAAAGAATATAATCAATCTGATTTCAGTGTCATCCATCTGGTGATGTCCATGTGTAGAGTCTTCTCTTGTTTTGCTGGAAGAGGGTGTCTGCTATGACCAGTGCATTCTCTTGGCAGAACTCTATTAGCCTTTGCCCTGCCTCATTCTGTACTTCAAGGCCAAATTTGCCTGTTACTCCAGGTGTTTCTTGACTTCCTACTTTTGCATTCCAGTCCCCTATAATGAAAAGGACATCTTTTTGGGGTGTTAGTTCTAAAAGGTCTTGTAGGTCTTCATAGAACCGTTCAACTTCAGCTTCTTCAGCGTTACTGGTTGGGGCATAGGCTTGGATTACCATGACATTGAATGGTTTGCCTTGGAAACAAACAGATATCATTCTGTCATTTTTGAGACTGCATCCAAGTACTGCATTTCAGACTCTTTTGTTGACCATGATGGCTACTCCACTTCTTCTAAGGGATTCCTGCCCACAGTAGTAGTAGACTGCCCACAGTCATCTGAGTTAAATTCACCCATTCCAGTCCATTTTAGTTCACTGATTCCTAGAATGTCGACGTTCACTCTTGCCATCTCCTGTTTGACCACTTCCAATTTGCCTTGATTCATGGACCTAACATTCCAGGTTCCTATGCAATATTGCTCTTTACAGCATCAGACCTTGCTTCTATCACCAGTCACATCCACAACTGGGTATTGTTTTTGCTTTGGATCCATCCCTTCATTCTGTCTGGAGTTACTTCTCCACTGATCTCCAGTAGCACATTGGGCACCTACCAACCTGGGGAGTGCATCTTTCAGTGTCCTATCTTTTTGCCTTTTCATACTGTTCATGGGGTTCTCAAGGCAAGAATACTGAAGTGGTTTGCCATTCCCTTCTCCATTGGACCACGTTTTGTCAGAACTCTCCACCATGATCCATCAGTGACAAATAGATTCAAGGGACTAGATCTGATAGACAGAGTGCCTGATGAACTATGGATGGAGGTTCATGACATTGTACAGGAGGCAGGTATCAAGACCATCCCCAAGAAAAAGAAATGCAAAAAGGCAAAATGGTTGTCTGAGGAGGCCTTACAAATAGCTGTGAAAAGAAGAGAAGTGAAAGGCAAAGGAGAAACGGAAAGATATACCCATTTGAATGCAGAGCTCCAAAGAATAGCAAGGAGAGATAAGAAACTCTTCCTCAGTGATCAATGCAAAGAAATAGAGGAAAACAATAGAATGGGGAAGACTAGAGATCTCTTCAAGAAAATTAGAGGTACCA